TCTAGTCTTGCTCTGCAGCAGAATCGCTTATTACTTTAATAAGGGGCCTCATAAGAAAAGGTTTCTTCACTCACAATAAACAATTTAGTTTTATACTTAATGAAATCTATTTCCGATACATGCCCTCAGCCCATAAACCCCCCTCCTCCAGAAGAGGACCTTACACACTGCTGTCCCCTTGGCTGCGGGTGTGGTACATCCTTCTTCCTGCCGTCTTACCACTGCGCAGAGCCACAGCAGGCAACTCCTTGAAATAACAGCTGAACTGCTCGATGTTGCTGTCAAAGAAAAGCATGCTTTGTGATGTTTTACACCAGAGATTTGCAGGGACACTTATAATCAACTATGTGAGCGGTTCAAAGCACCTTGTGTTAGAAAGGAACAGGCTACATGGAAAAGACACTACAAGATGACATTAGCTATACATTATAAGCCTGCTTTAATTCTAATAAAGATTATAAGTTACTGCTGACCAAATCAGCCTTTTTTAAGATTTTGAAGGTTTTCCAGGCCCAGTTACAGTTCCATTACTGGTGCTTTATCATTACGTGGTAACACAGGTTAAGATCAATGGGACAACCATTTCAGTGCAAGAAGCTAGTCATCCTGCAGTATTTCCATTGTTCCAAAGGCCGGCTTCCAACAATGAGCCAGTACCAACTGTCCTGGATGTGTTTTCTTTATGAGCTTGCACAGAATTTAATAATGAATACATGTTTTAAGTGGTTTGCCATGTTAATTGTTCCCACATGAGGTGCACATACTTTATTACAACGTTTCCATTTCAGGGATGTAACTTTAGACTTCTGAGATAAGACTAGTTTTGTAAGACTAAAACTAAAAAAAAGATAATATACATAGCAGCCTGTCTAAGCTCTTAAGTTGCATATGCAGGCAATGGTATACTAACACTACAGTTTGGTACTGCAGTATTTACATTGTTTGGCTCCAAGGGGGATTTCAAGGACACCTTACAAAGATTACACCATTACATACAACTAGAAATTCACAGAGATGAATTAGCTTCATAACACACTACAATGAAATGAATAGAAACTAATGGCTAACTGGAAAGTAGAATAAAAACTGATTGAATTTCAAATCTATAGCATGCTTTGGTCAGAAATAATATAAAATGGACACCTGAATGATCCTTTCAGAACCTGGCAAAATATGTGTTAGCTAGGAGAACTGGTCTTTGACTGTCTTGTTTATAAGCAGCTTGTGTAATTCCCCTGACTGTGCCCCAGACTGTATTAATAAAGGATGACTGGTTGTGGGGCCCTCGGTATACAGGGGCAGAGCTACTGAATCATGATGCAAACCCAGTTTACCACCCACATGCCTCATCTTCAGTGCAGAGCCTTACCTGAGGGACTGCAGAATGGCATTCATGAAACACGTGTTGCCCAAGTTCCGCAGGCCTGTAGCACCTAACGCCGCCCCATCCTGACACAGACAAGTGAGACACACAAAGATGTTTAAACATATACATATATATATATATATATATATATATATATATATATATATATATATATATATATATATATATAAATAATACATTTTATTAAAATGCATTAGGGAATAAAAAGCTAGTTTTAACCCTAAAATTTCAACCCTGGAGTGTTATTGGTGGATATAAGGAGACATTTTTTCTATTTTTATTATTTTGAAAAAGTCAGTTTTAGTCTGAAAATATGCCATAGAAGTGTAATTAAAACCGTCATAATGAAGTGACCATACATGGTTCCTCGCCCGATAAAGGGTTAAGCTAACATTTAAAGATATTATAGTCACTAGATGTAGAGTTGTATAAAGGCTGCTGTGACTCATCTAATTGGATAATTGGAGCACTGTGCCACAGTGTGAATACAAAACTTGTAAAAGGAAAGTTTGAGTGGTCTTACAGTCCTTAGTGCTAGTACACAACTGTGGAGTGCCGGCAACAATCATCTTCACACACTTACGTTGTCTTTTAACAACTTGCTGTCTGGAGCCAGGCTTTCCTGGAGTTTTCTTTTCCTCTGTCTGTCACCCATCAGTGCTGAGCTGTGAGAGGGAGAGACACTTTATCTGGACAATGATCTTGTATTGAGCTTTTTTTTTTGTCAAACCTAATGCTACATTTTAAATATTATTTACATAATTAAAGTATAATGACGATAAAGTAAAATAATGAGACAAATACAACATACTTATTGACTTTATTGTTAAGATTAGGTACTTACTTTTCTAAACTCTGAAGATGTTCCCTCACTTTCTGCACCTGCCCGAGTTTGGTGTCATTGACAACAAAGTCATCACATCTGTAACTATAAAATCCACATTAGTCAAATCACATACATATTTTATATATCAATAAACTTATTAAGATTTCAACCCATTAAACCTTCGCAAAAGAAACACAGTAGTCATAAATATATTGTGTTTCACTGTGGAACATGCAACATTTAAGCAAAGGTGTAAATGTGGTACGAGTGATTTTCATCAAATAATTCTGAATATAGTTCATAACATTTGAATCATAGTGTTTTGATGGAAATCAACACGTGATCATTTGTGTCGTGTAACAAAAATACTGGAGGATCACCTGCAGAGTAACTGATTAGCTACACTAAATTAATGATGATAAAGAAATATTCAGCTCCTGTTACACCATAACGATCCTTGTTGACTGTTAAAAAGGTTTCCATGCGTGTACTTTTGCAGGGCCACACAGTGAGTTACAGATAGCCATGGATAGGTTGGCCATGAAGGACACTCACCAAAATACGCTGTAGCTGCTGCAGTCCATGCAGACAGAATGATGAGATTTCTCTTTCTCCTGTTTCTCACTCTTCTTTTGAGTAATGCCAAGGACTTGGCTCTCTTCAAAGTGTTTCTTTGCATGTCCATTGACATATCTGTGTAGAAAGAGAGATTACTATATGAACACACATCATCTGGAAATGCAAACAGTACCAGGCCTAATTTATGCAGCATTAAAACTAAAATAAAACAACTTTTTGTGTGTGTAGTCGATTAAATATTTTTAATCCAGTGATCTGAGTCTTTGAGGATCCAGGAAACAGTTCCAAACAGTGTTTTTCAAAGATCCTCAAATAAAAACCCAGATGCTTAGCTCTGTGCGTTGAATGAAAGTATAAACACACAAGAAGAAACTAGACATCCTAATACACTCGCAGCTCTGGGAGAACACTTTAGCCAACATTTTAACATGCATTTAGTTAACCTCAGGTTTCTGAGGACCATATTTATACACAGCCACCTCAGTGACCACTGACTGAGATCTGTAGACTAAAAACCTTCATTTAACGTATAGCAGCCACATGGTTGTATAATTGACTTGGCTGTCCCAAAGTCAAAATAGTCACCCAAAGAAAAAAGGTTTTTAAGACACACCAGAGTATTACTTAAGTTACTTGTGTTGTGTGTGTGTGTTAGTCTGGGTGCAGCTTTAGACACCAACTCACCTTCCACAGTGGACCATCAGACAGGTAAGGCAAATCCATGGACTTTTATTGGACCTGCAAACTGGAGACACAAAGATACACCCGTCTTATTTGAGAAGTGTACAATTTAATGAAACAGTGCTTTTGAATGGACCGTTATGTGTCACATGGATAGACAGTGTCATTAAGTGAACTGTAATATGCCCTGTGAACGTTAGTAAACATTATTTATATTATCTATGGGGCAGTGCAGAGGCTGGGGTCCAAAATACTGCACCTGTAATGTATGTTTCCATTAACGGACATTTTTAGTAACGTTGAATGAAAAGGTGACAAACGCTCCTCTTACCGTTGCAACACCAAGAGGACGGAGTACCGTTAGGGAACCGGGAGGAATCGCTGGGGCAGCTCACGTTTGAGTTCAGATGAGGGCACTCCATCAGTGTACAATGTGTGGATAAGTCAGCTAATTATTGTTCGCCGACACTGCAACACCAACGGCACCAGGAACAAGGAAGCTAAACTAGCTAGCTAACGTTAGCCGACCAACTACTTCACTACTTCTGTTCGCGAGCGCACGTTTTCCTGTGTTCGCCAACGCCAAAGACGTCTGATGTTTCCTGTGGAGTTTTAAATGTAACACGGTTTACACAAAATAAAAAAGGCACTGCTGCTTCCAGTCGGGCACACTGTGAATTAAAATCGTAACGTTATCTTTGATGTGTAAGGTACTAGATAACTACTAGCGTTTGCCACACAAACAAATGGAAATAACTCGAGGAAGTGACGTCGTGTCTGCCGGCTCGGCCGTTCGAAACAAAGATGAAAAAGCTTGTGGGGAGTACGTACGACTACTTCCTGATTCGCTTATATTCTCCTTGGAGATGCCGTACGTACCTCGTGTTTGGGTCTACAATCTTTTTTTTTTTTTTATCGTATCTACACCAACTGCCAGTGAGAAGCTGTAGGTCAAAGTTTAACCCCATTAAGCAATGTTGCAACACTGAACTTGTGTCAGCAGGGCACGCATGCGTAGTAGCGAGCCTGTGCCTCGCTTCCGACAATGTACGGACAGTGATTTGCCTTTCACAGAGAGTTAAAACGTTTAAGCTCTATGGAAAGAAGAAATCGCAATTTTAGTTAATAAAGGACAACACTTCTTTAGAAGTCCATGATTCGATATGTTAAAAAAGAAAATTTAAATATATAAGAAATATAAAGTTGGCCCGTGAAAAAGTGACTGATTGCTAAAATAAGAATGAGTTCATATGTAAGTGTATCATTTTGGCAATCATGACAAAAGGCCAACAGACTACTTACATTAATTGGCTAATTATTTATGTATTTTGCATTTAAATAATAAATATGAGTCTGAAAGCAGCATGACTCATTTGAAAAGCCATTTTAAAAACCTGGTTTTCACATATGAAGACTGATAAAAATAGTTCATGGTTTCATAGCCTATATTGATTTAATATGTATATATCAAATCTGACTATATTCAAATTCAACCCCATCTTCAACACATGAGCTCAACCTCAAGGGTAAGAAAATCAACTGTTTATTTACTGAAAGATTAACCTTTTACAGAGAGTCTGGACATCATTTTAAAAATCAATTCACTGCAACTGGAATACCTGCAAACCGAATATTGTATTCCAAATACTTCAATGAATACATTTTATTAGTATCTGCAGTCACACACAATTATAAAATGGGGACAGATGTAAAATACTTTTTCAATCACATGCCAAGTCACACATGACTTGACGGGTTGCAAGATAAGTTTTACATTTCATCAAGTACAACTAATCAAACAACTTACATCTGAAAATCGTGAAACCCAGCTGCAACTTTAAAACAGTACAAAAGCACGTTGACAAGAAGTCCCTGCAATGTATTTTGTTAAACAACACTGTTTGAGAATATTTTCAGCACTAAAACATATTACCTTAGATGATAACCAGAAGGTTTTAATAATATTTACACCATCTACAGTGAATAATAAAAAATCCCAAATCCAAAGCACGCACATTTAATGATATTACAGCCAAATGATGATGAATGAAAGAAAATTTGAAAGGTTGTTCTTTGACACCTTTATGTTGAGATGTTGACAGCCTAAAACAAAAGATTCACAAATGATGAGCAGTTAAGCATAATAACAGAGAGTGTTCAGTGGACATCACTGTACGAGAACGGCTCTAAATATATGTTTTGGGTTTTGAATTGGCACGTGCCCTCAGAAGACTTAGACATCTTTCAGCAAATTGTTAAGCCAGGTGATGATGCAGTTATATTTTGGAAACAGTGAAATGGTTACGAGACCACACAAACATTTCAGGTAGTTGTGTGCAAGCAGATGAGGATCCTCCTGTTTATGCCTGAATGTTTGTCTAAAATACTAAATTCCTTCTGATGGAAAAAGAAAAAAAAGTTTTCATGATGCTGGGCTGCAATTAACACTCAATGCCATTAAGACAAATCAAATAAGACCAAGACAAGCAGGAAATTCTCAAAACCAAAAGCTGTAAGAAAGAGAAATCTTGGCATTTTCCCCCAGAAAAATGACCTCAACAGTTAATCAATTACCAAAATGGTTGCTGATGAATTTTCTGTCCATCAGTTAATCAGTTAATTGACTGATATTTCACCTTTGGTTTATTTGTTTATTATACTTTGACTAATCTGATTTACTTTTGATTTGATTGCTGAATGAAAGTAAAAGGTAAAGCTTGCATTTGCATTTAAAAAACATCACTTTGCACACATTGTAGAGCCGAAACATAATGAGAAACTTGAACAGAATTGTAACTAAACACAACAATCAGTTGATATGTTTAGTATCAAGCCTAAAGTTATAATACAAAACCAAAACTCCAAATGTTGCTAATGAGGTGACAGGATTTTCTACGCCATTTCAATCGCCGGCTCCTGAAGAGGTGAGTCAGACTTGGCATCTCTACTTTTCCCTGCTCCCTTCTCATTGGAGGCCTTCTTCTTCCTAAATAGGTACAATGAATATGAAGACAACAGTGCAGTCATTAACTATAAGTAATGCTGGTGCTTTTTAGCTGTATCGGTCATCATTCTTCAGTCCCTCCAGGATTTATCAGGCTTTTTTGGGGGGTCATTGCAGCCTAAAATGCCTGATTTCATGGCAGCTTTTCTAAAAACAATTGTGATTCATGTTGTGATGGTTTCAGGCTTTGTTTTGGAAATTGTGGGGGAAAGTGAAAATTACAAAAATGGTTAAAATGTCTTTTGCCTAACTCGAAGGCAACTTGTTCCAGTGAGAATGAACCTGTTTGGACAGGGTAAATATGAGATGTAGTAGAAACAAGGAAGTGAGTTAAGTGACGTTTGAGGAACAGTTGCAGTGATTGTACGAAATTACAAGGTTGTGCAGAATTTATGGGGATTGGTTGGATTTTCGTTAACTGTTGCGATTGCAACGTCGCAGCTTACTGGAGGGACTGATTCTTTATGTAAAACTAAAGACAAAATGGTCTTACTTTGACTGAACGGTCAAGACAATCACACTTATAAAGATAGTGGCAATGATGACAGCAATCAGAACTCCACAGATGATCGCTGTTGAAGAGGACAACAGAGTTAAAGATGAGTAGGACTCATGTAAATAGACTAAATAAGTATATAACAACATTTTAATGCAGATACCAGTTAGAACCTTTATATACCTGTAATGTGTAAACAGTTTGGACTCAAACAGACCCATTTAAAACAGGGACCTGTTCTGCTTATAATGTCACTTTCCAAATAAGAAATTATTCAAAGTATATTGTAAATGAATACTTTGTGCAGTTTGTCATTGAGTTCATTGTGTGTCTACTGACCAATAGGAGTGTCTGGCTCCTCCTCCTCCTCTTCATTACCATCATCTTAGAAAACAAAACCGTTAAGATCTACATGTTAAAAAGCATTGTACCTTCTTTATATCACTACTTACTCATCAGTTTTAAAACATGCATTGGAATTTTGATATGCTGACATATATAATTATCAGCAACTGTGTACATAAGAGAGAGATTCGTGCTCACCGTGAATGCCAACACAGGTGGTGTTGCAGCTGTTAAAGTCGAAAAACCTGTTTCCATTTCCGATGCATCCAGTCCAAAGGAATTTTTTGCATTTGTTGTGAATAGAATCGTAGTAGTATCTCAATAAGTTACTATTACATTTACCCTGGGCCTTTTTAAAGTGGCAAGCTTGGGAGGCTGTAAAGAGAAAGCATCATTCTCATCATCATCATCATCATTACAAGTAGTCATAGCAGTGGTTTCTGGCTACTATAGTGTACTGATATAATAACACAAACTTGATATGGATACAGCATGAGTGTTAGATGATTAAAACTTAATCAAGCAGTTTGTAAAGTTGTGTTCATTCATACTTTCATCTGCTAGTAGTCCTGCTCTTTCACCACTTGGTGGCGTATTATTAGTACTCAAAGCTGACTCAATGCTGGAGCTTTCCTGCAGCTTCTGAATAAATATATATGCAAAAAATCTCAAAAACTCAATGTTATTTCGGTCTATTAAATTGATATGCAAAATAGCATTGACACTGATAATGTAGATTTTGCGGTCATATAAAACACTCCTCTACAGACAGAATATAGGGAGCTCAAGAAGGCCCCTCTCTCTCTCTCTCTCTCTCTCTCTCCAGTTTCGATCAAGATGATGTAGTATTTCCTTTCATGGGCCTTTAGGCCATAAAACTCTACCTCATTAGCTAGTTCATGTTCCAAAGTCCTCAGAAATACAGCCAGGAAGAAGGACTGTTTTTTTTTTTAGACTGAGTTTACTTTTAGGGGCTCTTTGAAGTAGCATTAGACATTTTGTATATTTATAACAGAGTTAGTGTTTGAACAAAATGAGTAATTGCATTAATCCTCAGTCACTATAAATTCATAAAATCATCTTACCATCCACTGGGTAGACATTCTCTGCATTGGCGGAACAGTTTCTCATGCACTCTCTTTCATTTGCAAACCGGTTTTTATTTCCTCCTTGGCCTTTGTATATGAAAGGACTGCACAGGTCTTGGCTGGCATCATAATACAAGGCATATAAAAAGCTTGGGCCATGACCTCCATCAGAGGGCATTTGACAGAAATCTGTTGGATGATAAAAAATAAACAATTAAAATTAAATTTTCATTGTGTGATAAACAAATATTATACAGTACTTGTATGGAGTAAGGTGGTAAGATGGCCATTGCACAGTTACTGTATGATAGGTGTTTCAGTAGAAATCATCAACCTGAGATCACATAATTAATGTTTAACCAGCCTCATCACCAGAAACCCACTCCCTCTTTTTATGACAGCAATAAAAAGTATCATTTATGGTACATTTTCAGTCCTCCCGCCCTTCATAGCTTTCACAGAAGGGAAGTAGTTTCAAACGAATCTTTTAAGATCAAACTTTTTTCCCTTTTAACAAGCTCGAGTTTGGAGGGAAATTAAATAACTGACTGGCTATTCCTCAATGCTCAAAATGTGGGCCACCGTGAACATTTGCACAGTTGTAAGATGGGATGAAGTTGCAGGTTGACATAGTTTTAGTTCATCATGCACAGGCTCAGACAGAAATGATCTCAGTGTTTTAAAAGTTTGGAATTACAGAGGAAAGAAATGTCCAGTCAGCTTAGCACAAACGTGTAAATAACATTTCTAGGAGAGTAAACGTACAGTTAATACCTATCTTTTCTTTTTTGGTCACAGCTAAAGACAATCATTTTTGGCTACAGTTGCAAGTTACAACACGAACATAAAGTCAGTAAAAGTATAATACAATATTATATCCTGCTGAGAGAGGCAGTCTAGACCATCAAGTCTTTTGATTTCTGATTGAATTGAATGGTTTCCCCCCAATTACCACAAGAGAATATGCACTCTTGTACTGTATATCATTCAGCCTACAGTTCATTAAGTCCCGCCATGTAACCGCCATGTTGCCCTGAAAGGACTAAAGGTGAAGCTTTATCTCGATTCAGTTTTAGCAAAAATAGAAACATTAGGTTTAAGTGAAAAATATTATCACAAGATATGAAAAGAACAATATTTTTGCAGTTGTATTTCAAAAAAATACACAAGGCTAACACTTCATAATTGTTCAGTAAAGCTGAGCCCATGTGCCAATAGCCTGTCCTATTCTGAAAGGTAAATCTCAGGTATAAACTGATCCTTGGTTTTAAAGGAACTACAACTGAAGAAGAAAACGGTTCGATGTACCTTCAGTATTCGAATGGCTGATGTGGAATGCAGCAAAAGCAATCCCCAAAAACAACAGGTGCTTCATCTTGCTTCTTGTCTTTGTGCCGTCTTTCCTGGACTGAGAGGGGGTTGTAAACTACAGGTGGAGTGGGTTGTCATACCGACCTTTGGACCAGCATTTCCCTAATGGTGACACTTTCAATCGAAACAAAAGTTAACAGCAGGGATATACATCTTCCTCTTTTTACGTTTATTATAGGTAGAAGGCCGCCCTTTTTATATTAGGGCGTAACCAGATATAACCAGCTCCATATACAGAGATCAATATGCAGTAGTGTGTGATGATCATACTCTTATTGGGTGTTTGAAACACCCCCATATTTGTGTATTAGTCAGTTTATATATATTTAATCCACCAAGTGCAGAATCTACCAAGTCTCATTCAGGGAACATTCAGGTCCCAGTTAAACGTGATAATTGCAACACAGCAGCAACACACCACAAGTACACTGTCAGCATATTCACTAACAGTCACACTGATTGGATATTTTTGTCATTTTATGTTGCACGGTGAGAGCTTTAAAACTGAGATTGCAACCTGAAATGCAACCTTACTTTTTTTTTTTTTACAGAGGGCTTGATAAGAGAGCATTTGTAGTAAGTTCAAATCCTCCTGTCATTGAGTTATCCTTATGGAGTCACTCTATCCTCTTACTTGGTAATTTTGGCTGAAATACTTAATGTCAGCTTTCCAGTCTCACAGCGAAAGACTTTCATCTTTTGTGTGTGATAATCCTGTGATGAGCCAAATTTGTAATTATGTTATATCTTCAAATAGTATGAGGTAAGATAGATAAACAGATAGATAGATAGATAGATAGATAGATAGATAGATAGATAGATAGATAGATAGGCCTAGATTTATTTACTTAAATATTAATGGTGATGATAAAGAAAAACTACATTAGTTTACAGATCCCCCTCCAGATGTGTTTTTAAGACATAAAAACACTCTGCATGGATTAATAACTACATGCTGTTGGCTACTTCTCCCTCATTGGAAAATCCCTGAAAGAATGAACATATCTAAAATGTAAATTGTGCAATGTACACAATGTGACCTGGAGGTTTCAAATCTCCACATGACACTTGTGGTAAATTGTAGCTCCTAGTGGTTTCCAATCTGCATTTGTAATGTCAGAACATCGTGCTCAGTTGACATAGTTTACAATGTTGCCTCCAGACTCTCTGCGTGTAGAGCCCTCACTCTTCACCTGTTAATATTTGGCCAACCCATCCGTCTTTTGACCCTCCGGCGCCCCAGGATCTGAAGGGTCGCAGGATTCTGTGTAACACCGGCGAAAGTGCAACATTCACCGCACCGCAGCAAGAGCTCTAAACTAGTGACTTCGCTCGGATGCGGTCGCCGCTGTTGAGCTGTCACTCTCCGGTGACTTTGGGGGCTGGTTTTGTTGTTGCACTGACGTCAGCGCGAGCTACAATGAAGCTGACAACATCCATGGGTATAAAAGCCGGTTTGAAGGCTGGCACTCTGGTGCTCCAAGCTCCTGCTCTGCACCGGGTGAACATCAGGCTCACCACACGAAGTTAGGGCTGAGGGGATCAAGATGCACTTTCTAAGCTTCACATCCATCGTGCTACTGCAGCTGACTTTCCTCGGTGTACTGCATGGTAAGATCTTTGATGAGTGCAAAAAGTAGCCTGTTAGGATGTAAAAGACTTTGGTCGCACATTTAGATTTGTGTTAATTAGAAGGAAGAAGAAGAAGAAGACATTTTCTCTCCAGCAGGTGATATGGACCATAGTACTTGCAGGGTCTTAAGCAGAAAGGATGCTTCATGGCAGGTGTCTCCATCCACCTGCACATGCTCCTTTATTATGAGGGTTCAAAATATATTGTTTTTTAAAATTTGTTTTAAAATGTTGTAAACATGTCAGATTATTATAATATATTTTACAGTGAAAAACAGCAACACAATTATTGTTCCTGTCTGTTTCAGGTGCCAAGTGGACATACACTGGTAAGTCTGATAATATCTTCCTCAATATCTTCCTCACAATTTGTTAGTGGTATATATATATACATCCAATTTTTGTTGATTTGCAATCCCAGTGGATTTCCTACCCTTACACCAGCATTAACCAATTAAGTGTTAAATTTGATGCAACTGTGCAACTCTCTCTGAGTCAGAGAAGCTTTAATCTGGTATGGCTCCCACTGCAGTGCTTATAATAAGAGAAAAATGATAGTGTTGAATGTGGTGCTTTCTGATTAAGAAGAAAAACCCCTCTGTGACCATTCTTCAACTTCCAAGACAACCAGTACTGACATCCCCCCCCCCGTCACCTCATGTAATGTAATTGCAGAGTTCACCCCAGACTGCAATTACAACATTTCATAAGTGGCTGACTTGCCTTTGTCTCATGCCTTAAGGACTATGGGCAGGGACTTCTTGAACCATGACTATCTCTTACATAAACTGTGCTCAGAGCATGACCTCTTGTCACTGTGTCACTGCTTCTTAAAAGTTGGTTGCATTCAGGGATTGCATGTTAGAACCGATAAGTTGGCAGGTGAAGCAACACGATAACTTTATAAAGAGCTAATTATTTCACACAGATGAATAAGAAAAGAACGACTTCTCTGCACAGTAATTAATGGTCGGATAATAATAGTTAAAAGATATCATACTTGCCTATTTTGGACCTCTGAGAGAGGCTGGACATAATCAACAATGGAAAATTGTGCAGGTAAACAGAATACATAAACAATGTGGCAAAATAAATGATTGATTGATTGATCACTGTGCTGTACTTGGCCAAAGCCGTGTACACATGTACATATAAACACTTGGATCATTCCAAAAATGCATACAGTGCATTAAACTTAATAAACTTAATATATATATATATATATTTTAAAAAAGCCTCTGGCCTCCCAAGTTCAGCGTGGTGGATTTCATTCTCAGTTACAGTCAAACTCTCAAGAGGCCTTGTCATAGTAGCCAGTAGTCTGGAGGGCTGGTAGCACTTTCTGTTGACGGGAGCACAGCTGAGTCATATGATTCATCTCCACCTCAACACTCCACCCTGTGGCAGAGGACAAAACACTGAACCTTAACAAGGGAGTAAAATAAATGACATTGATGAATGTTGTAGTTTTCTCACCCGGCTGCTATTCCTTTTCTACTTTGACCATTGATGTTATGAAAGCATTATTTAGCACTGTTTTTACATTGGAAAGCCCCCATATTTTAAATGATTACTCACAGTTTTTCTACCAAGGACTGCCAAGGGGCCACTGAAGGCCACTGAAGGCCATTATTAAAGGGCAGGCTGGGTCTAATTAAAACAGCAAATGAAGTGGACACTGAGTAATTATAGTCATAAGAGTAAGTTTCTTTTTTATGATAGGGAGAGTTTTCCTTGATTGAACTTTGAGTTTTGGTTCAAACAAGTATTCAGTGATTTCACAGCTTCACTGGGCGCCTTTTGGCATGTCTTGTACAATCAATTCACATTTGTCTGGGAACTGACACTCGGGTTGGGGGCAGGCTTTCCTGCAGCATCATTCATATTTAATCATCTGGCATATGGTGAATGGTGAACTTTTAGATTAATTCTGGACAGATAATGAATTAGTGGCAAGTATGGACAAGTGATGAGAGCAATGTTACATTCATCGTGGTGTTTTCTATTCCGCTACAATTATGTTACTTCAGATCTGATAGCACCCATTCACTTTATACTGAGCATGATGTTTGAAAAGCCTAATATGGATCCTCACTCTTTAGTTAATACGCTGAATGAAAATATCAGAAAATAAAGAGCTTCCTTTTCTTCTGCATCATTTCTTTCATTAATATTTCTCTCTCTTTTGTATTATTTCTGAAGCCAGTGTGCCACATTGCCTTTGCAGACCCGCTTTTGAGAGACACCCTCATGCAACTGAGGTCACTTTGTAAACTGCATGACTTGATCTGCAAATGTGGCCATTTTCGGTGTCCTGTGCTTTATAGAAACCTCTCATTTGGAGAGAGACAGGGTTCTCACTGGCTCTCCCCACAAACAACTGCCTGGTTCTCACTCTTGCTGCTTTAGAAAGGGCCAAGAGTGAAGCCACGGGCCTCTCCCATGCTGCGTTGTACATAGATAATAATACTTCACTTTGATTACAGATAAAATGTTCAGAGGGCTAGGACAAGCACTGGACCTCTTTGGAGCCACCCCCTATTCAACTTCACACTGGGACACGCTTTGGTCATTTGCCCTTTAAAATGTAAAAGTTTAACATTTGAAAAGACCCGCAACATATCCCTACTAGTGTGAGGTGAAACACACTTTTTGGATGACTTAGGATATGTAGTGTAGCACTGTACAGCGTATTAGATTTTTGCATTTGGGCTACATTAAGGTATCAACAAAGGTGTTTTATTGGTAATAATTTGCATGCTGTTGCAGGGCCAGAGGGAGAGAACCACTGGTCCGAGCATTATCCATATTGTGGCGGAGCTTTCCAGTCTCCAATAAACATCAAGTCAGAGCTGCTAAGGTTTGACCCAACCTTACGTCCAATTGAAGTTCAAAACTACAACCTGTCACCCAAAGAGCAGCTTACTCTTGGAAATAATGGACATTCTGGTGAGTATAAATCATCATGGTCACCAAAATACATAATAAAGTACAGTATTTACATTGAAATGTGTACTTTAAACTCATTTAATCACAGGTAAAAAAAAACAACTATGTATCATACTCGGCAAACATTTAAGATCAGATAAAGTGCACATCATGTTTTGTTTGTCTTAGGATCTAGGAAATCTTCAAATGAAAGTGATGCACTAGTCAATGTATTCATTAGAAAATAGTCCCACATAAACGTGGAGGTTCTTGCTGTAGATACCTAATTTCTGGGTCAACCTAAGGAAAATGATACAGGGATCCTCTGCCACAGCAATTTTCCATAATCACTCTCTTATTATCTTAGCTGTCCTTTCACCAAAAGAAAGAGCTCCACGTTTAGTCTGGGAAAATATGAGCAGAGATTTGTCATCTTCTCTGCCTACAATGGGTCTGATGCATCTTCACAAAAGAAAGCCAGCTTCAGTTTTATGTCCGATATCTGTGTATACCACAGTCTTAAATTTGATTGCTAAATATAGCAATCAGAGCATAAACAACTGTGCCCATGTGCCACAGAATAAAATATTTTGATGACAAAATCATCGAATGATTCTGCTCTGTTTGAAGATAAGAAACATTTTCAGTCATAAAAAACTAAAAACTTGACACTAAACGGTATGCTGCAGACCTGGATTAATTTGTTTCTTACATGTTAGTTTAAGTACGATGTAAAACTTGATATATACTTTGAGAAATTTCAGTGTCAAACTCTGTATGGCGAAACATGCATGTAATGTCTGCCCTGTGTAGGTCACGATTCCACTGCTGTAATAATGGTGGATGTAAACTATTTGCAAGTGACGAGTGCAAAGACCAGACAAGTGCTTATGTGTGCATGCCTGATGAGCCTCAATGCCACAAACCGAGTAGCAGTAATCAGTGTGACGTGTGTCTTAAATGAGCTGACAGAGGTTTTTCACTTGTAAACATTCATCATACACTGAAGGTCATGTAGAAAGGACCTCTGCGTCACTGTACCATGACGTTACTTTAACATACACACAGCTTTAGCAAACAGACTTCGACAGCACTTCCTCAGTTTAGTTAAAGGTGATGTTTTTCGATTCTCTGACGATAACTGATGTAACCACTACCCTGCACGGTTGCGTGTGGTGGGGTTTCATGTTGCTTGATCCACAGTACAAATATCACTGCCGTCTAAGATGTACATCTCCGGCCTGCCTCAGCGCTACACTGCAGCTCAACTCCATTTCCACTGGGGCTCCTCCAGCAGACCCACAGGATCTGAACATATGGTGAACAACAAGCAGTATGCAGCAGAGGTAAACAAAGCAAACAGCACGTCTTCATTGTTGATGTTAAAGGTGCTGATGGAAAGTAGCTAAGTATATTTATTCTAGTGCTATACCCAAGTACAATGTCAAGGTATTTGTACATTTTAGAGACAAACGTTGTACATTTTACTCCTTTACATTTTATCAGACAGTTTAGCTCCAGATTAAGATTTTATATGTGAAACAGTTTATATAATATGATGCATGTTTAAAGAATACACCACCCAACATTGTATAAAATCAGCTCCTTCTTGACAACATTAAAATGCAGCTTTCAAGTTAATGCATAAGTAATTATCTTTAACATACAGTAGGCATGTTTACAGTATGATACATATGATGGTGCCATTTTGCATGAGCACTTTTACTTAAAGGTACAAAATTCACTGCTGATCTCAGACTAAAACAATTGGGTGCTACAGCCAACCAGACTCCACTGACAAAACCAGTAATTTTACCATGTAGATAATTATAAAACATACTTCAAACTGTACAGAAACTAAATCCAACTCATCAAAACCATCTTTCTTAGTCTTTCCACAGTCTTTCAAACAATTGGAAACACTGGTTTGGTCAAATGTCCTTAACCCACTGAGTTAGATGTGACAATAGTCATGAAACAGGCTGCAATGATGGCAACGTAACTAATCCCTAGGGACAAATGTTCCTGATACGTCCACTAAAAGTGCTTGTTTTTGCCACTGACAGGCTCAGATTGACAACATTATGGAAAGAATCTCAGAGACAGACCTTTTGTTTAACCATAAACAGTCCAGACCAGACCAGACCAGAAATCACTCGCCACCAGACTCCATAAACAAATGACAAAAACTGTAATTTTATCAGAGACTTGTAACATCATAATTTCATTAAAATGGGACAGAAACTCACCAAAACCAACTTTGTTCCAACAATCAATTTCAATCCAACCCTGATTAGATTGAAATAAATCCTCAATTCACTGATGTAGATGAGAAAACAGCCAGTTCCTCAGTTGCACACTGAGAGACTCACATGCACTAATGTGCACATGCGGCCAGCCTGGCTTTGTAAACAAAGAACAGAAAGGCTGCGATAGCAATACAGGCAAAGGGAGTGTGTCAGGACACCACGGCTCCACTATGTCTTTACATAGCAAAAAGTAGTTTGCTTCTATATTAATGTTTAAAATCTCATATTTAAATAGGACTTTTACTTTAACTTTTTCTTGTTATAAACTTGTATTGCTACTTTTGCTTAAGTAAAATATCTCAATACTTTGATGAAAGGTCAATGAATATAATCAGATAAGCTCAGTCCATTCATTAAAATAGGTCTTTCACTTATCGGCAGCATCAGGCAGCAGCATCCATGGCACCAGATGAATGATTTAATACTTTATGACTTAAATGTGTGACATTTGACTGGCAGAGGAGTCAGAGCCACTGACACGCTTCAAGGCTTACAGACGCTGTTCAAGCTGAAGAAACTCTGCATCTGCATATTATTGTTCCAGTTTCTTCACACTGGACATCTACTCGCCAGTCAGACAGTTTCAAAAAAAGCTTATTGTGCATCTTCCACTTTTATTATGTAACTGACTGTGCAGTACAATGAAATGCTTCTATAAAACACTCTAATTAAAGACACTTAGAAGTTTTAAACAATAAAGAAGTTGTGAGTCCTTAAAATATTGTCTACCAAGATTATGAAGAGGGGACAGTTAAGGTCATAGTCAAAAGTTCTTTTTACTAAATAAATCACCACGTACTAATTAAATTTGAATATTTTATCTTAGTGGCACATGCTAAAATGCAAAACGATAATTTCAGTCAGCTGTGGTATGTACAGTATGACAGTGTGTCTTATGTCTGCTGTGTTTAAGGGGATTAGAGTACCAGGCTATTATATGCTTTGGTTTTCAACCACCTCTTGAAAGGAGTGGCTGTCTGTGCTATTTAATGTGTGAAGCCCTGTAAGCAGTTTCACACACTAGTTTGCCCTATTTACTTGTGTACTTGAAGTACAGCAGACGGTGAAGTTTAAAAGTAAGAGTCTCTTTTATGATTTAAACAAAAATAAGAGACTTTTTTTATATATAATTTGGTATCATTTGAATTACAGTGGAACAGTAGAAGCTGAAATGGTTACAACCTGTGTGCTTTTATGTGACCATGCCCCAGCTGCAGCACAGCCACATATAAGGTGCTGTGGTTTGACCTGGGTTTCAGAGTGGACACGTTGAGAGCATGCATCTTTTCAAGTCTCTCCAGACTCCAGAACCACAGTTCCTTGATGACATGTTGTTTTGGCGGGATGGAATGATGGGAAATTGAACATTTCCCAGAAATAGTGCAAATGTCCACCTTGATTCCCAAGACAGAACAAAGACTATGAATACAATTTCGTCATATTTGGACAGAATGACTTACATGACTTTGTAAGCAACTGACAATATGTTATTTATTTATGTGCTTTAATACAAGAAACCTACTGTAATACATCTCCTATACTTTCCACCAATATCACATCCCCTGAATACCACCAGCTATTTACAGTCTCATTAACAACTACCTTGCATGAAATAAGTGTCAGAGGTGAGATGGTATAAAGATGGAATCTTTCCTGCAAACACCTTGAAACTACACTGCATTGTGTTCACACAAAGAAAATATAGTAAAATAAAAAAAGAACTGTTTGCATAAGATAGGGCCTTTTATTTCGAAATAAGATTTTTGAGTAATTTCTATTTTTATTCGCAAGAAATTTACAACATTAAATAATAGTAACAAAAAACAGTCCTGATGATAGGTTCATTTGTTTGTTCTAGTATCTGAGTATTGAGTCTTTTTCCTTCCAAGTGAGCTTCTTTCTGTCTCAAGATTTTCTACTTGCTATTAAAACATCTGCCGCTTCTATCCATACTTTTTTCAGAGAAATTTAAGAGATAAAGTACTTTACATCTTATAGGGACCTTATGTCATGGTATCTGTTGTAGCACTTTAAATACTATTTTCCAAAAGGTTTCTGATGTTTTCCAAGTCTACAACAAATTATGCATACTTTCTCCAACATAGCAGACGTCAACCAATCATCTCAAGGCTTTGACTACATGCAACTACATGTTATTTTTGTGGTTTGTGCCACAGGGTCTTGACTTATTTCTCTTTTTTCTCACAGATGCACGTAGTACACTTCAATTCAGACAAGTATCCCAATATGTCCATGGCTGTAGACAAATCTGATGGCCTAGCTGTACTGGGTGTCCTGATTGAGGTGAGACATTGTGGACTCTTTGGGTGGGGGGTGGGGGGAGGGCAGTGATGTATGAATTTCTGTGGAGCAGCAGATTTAACTATGTTTGTCATACAGATCGGAGAGTTCAATCCGGCCTTTGAACAGTTTCTGAAGTTCATCAATGGCATCAAGTACAGGGGTGAGTCTATCGTGATGATTTTATTTAGCAGAATTTGTTTTATAGTTTTGCTACCCTGAATATAAGTTATTAAGTAGTAAGGTTTGAGGTCTGAAACTCTTCATCAGTTGCATATTACTTATGTTTTTATTTCAAATGGCAGATCAGAAAGTCCAGGTGCCCGGATTCAACATCAGAGCACTGCTGCCTGCACGTTTGGATGAGTATTATCGCTATGATGGGTCACTGACTACTCCTCCATGCTATCCCAGTGTCCTGTGGACCATATTCAGGAATCACATAACGATATCTCGCAAACAGGTGCGGCATCAGTGTTAAATTAAATTCTTAAGCAGATTTGATATTTGAATACATAAGCCAAGGTTAAACTTACGTTAAATTGATTTTCTAGACATTTTAATATGGTGTGCCCATTACATTTAACCTTAATTGGTCTGGAAAAAAATGCTCACAAGCTATTGTTTTGTTGTGTCTTCTTAGTTTCTGTCCCTGGCAACAGCCCTCTACTCCTCCCATGCCCAGGACTCAGTCCCTGTGCCTCTGAATGGCAACTACAGGAAACCGCAGCCCGCTGACAGCAGAGTTGTGCTGGTATCTTTTAAGGAGGGTAAGTATGGTCTTCAAAATGAGCTTGCTTTATTGTTGGAGTGCAAAGGTCATATAAATGACATGGCCACTGCGCTGCTTTAAAAACGGTAAAAGGACAGGTTTGATGGGCTTTTTTTTCTTTTGCAAAGCACAGGGCTTGTATGGTATCACCTGCTTGCGAATGAGCTTATATGTTAATGTCTTTCTTAATTATCTTTAGAGTTAATTGACTTTGAGCTTGTTGGAAAATAGGCCATCTTTTAAGACACAACAAATTAACCGTCCCACTGACACACTGAGAAAGTCTGCAGGCCTTAAATTTGTCTTTAAAGGCTTACTTTTATGTGGTTTGCTGGTTTACCACACTGTATGGTATTTAGGTCCATATAGTGTGGTATGAATGTGCATGTTTTCCTCATTTCAAAGCTTTCCGCTCAGAGCTATGCTTCTCTAATGGCACTTGTGTTTTGACATGGCTCTGTGGAATCTACTGCTATTAGCTTTCATGGGCGGTGTTTAGCAGGCGATGGCTTGTGCTTTTAGTTTATCACTACAGGCAGCGCTGTTGCATGCTGGGTGTGAAGGCCCATAGTCATTCCCAGGAATACCCCACGGGCTGGGATGTTTAACAAGCTGTGATTGGCTGTGTGTCTGATGCAGGCAGAGGACTGCACGGTATTCCCACAGTCACATCTTCACTTGTGAGGAAGCAAATCGTTCAGCAGCTGCTGGTTGGTGACCTAGCAGACCTGGCTGACGAAGGGCTGTATCAGCTCCTACCGCGTGGCTCAGAGAAGATCCATGCTGGCAAGAAGAAAGACCTCAAGAACCAACAGAGTGAGACTCTGGCCAAATCCAAACAACAAACTCTGAACCCATCCCTATGGAAGAAGAGCCAGACCAACCGCTCTGTGGGAAAGTTGGGGCTGGCAGAAGACGCACTGTGCTACGTCTCGCTGGAACAGAGAGTTTTCCATCAGCTCAAACAGTCCCATGCTGAGACCCAGCTGGTTCAGGCTCTCAGAGATGCAGTTTTCCCTGATCTCAACCTCAAGAGCTACCTGGACTGTAAGTCAGACTTAGCTCTCCCCGCCATCAGGCATATCCTCCGTGGACGACCACCAACGGATGAGGCTAAGGAGTTAGATCGCTCCCTGACAAAAGCCTTGATGAATCAGAAGAAGACTTCCACAACAATCAAGCAAAGTGTGCCAGTGACAAAGTATGGCGGCCTCTCTCCTGCTACTGTTCCCAGGAAACCACACAGCCAGGGTTATCCACATCCTTGGCTTTTGCCAATGGAGTGGGAAGACTAGAGAGATTCCTGACATAGTTGAGACTCAAATTATGTCACTTTTTGTAGCAGACATCAGTTGAGTGTCCCACAGTGAAAGACTAATTTTCAAGCCACACCCTGCATTCCTTTGATCAATCTTTCTCACAAATGTATTTAATATTAAATTATTCTTTACTGTATGTGCACATAATTATAATATGAGAAAAATATTGTAGTATGAGTTAATTTAGTTAACTGTCAGTATTTTTGCAAACATACGCTTGTGCATAACCAATCACCAGTGCTCAGTACTGTAAGCAGATTCTAAAACATGAAGCTAATCTCAATAAGTAGATTTTTTTCATGAAAATCTGCTAAAATGAGAAAAAATGTCCTTTTGTAATGGGCTTTAAGTCTGTTTGCATAATTTTGCCTTGCCATACAATGCTTTAATACCAACCAATGCAAACTACATAATTCATGTTTGGGAATCTATATGCATCAAGCTACACATATGACACAAAATGTCCGGCAAAGAATATTTATAGATTTATATACTGTATGCCAAGTTCAGTTCTATATTATGGTAATTGTGGAGCTGTAGTCGTAATTACTGTCTTGCACAATATAGAAATGCAGCTAACCCAAAAGAATTTGCAAGAGCTTAAGCGCTTTACGTCACAGCCCTGTCTTCCCTGTCTTACAATTTGTTCTTCTGTTCAGAATGCTATTTTCAATAAGTAAGGAAGCAGCTACTGTACATAGGGACCTATTTTCAATAAAAGCATTTTACACAAAGCTTATGTGGCATATTTTAGTTTAGGTTTTATTCGTGTAAAGCCTCCATTATCACATACAGTAACTTACATTACTTTAATATTTAACTTTACTCATTTGTGCTCAGTTTTATTAAGTTATTCTTTAGTTTAGAAGAACAGTGTTCAATTGCTTAAGATACAAGGGTTAAGACCAGCTGTGTGTGTGTGTGTGTGTGTGTGTGTGTGTGTGTGTGTGTGTGTGTGTGTGTGTGTGTGTGTGTGTGTGTGTGTGTGTGTGTGTGTGTGTGTGTGTGTGTGTGTGCGCGCGCGTGTGCATGGAATAAATGCACAAAAATACGGTACTGTCCAAGGTGGTGATACATTTGTATACGGACAGTTACTGTCCGTATGCAGAAGATTACAGAATGGATCTTTGACATATTTTATTTGTATGTGTGTGTATATATATATATGATATAATATGATATATAGATCTGGATACAGATCCATAAACTTGTATACCATTGGATCTTACCATTGGTCCTTTATGTGTAGTTAGACAAAATTACCAATCCAGGAATGATTTATATAAATCCTAGCAATAAAAGGGTGTGCTAGAATTAATAAAAACCTTTTTTGAGATGCATTTTAAGAAGTGTTTTAAAAGATGTCATTGTCAGAGATTCAGATATATACCATTTCTCTTGCAGTCTCTCGAACTCAAGCACACCAGGTGATGTCAGCTAAGTCTGTGAGGGTTCAGAGTTTAAGGCTTTAGGGGGGACATTGGGATTGGGCCAGTGTTTGGTTTGTTGCTACTTTATAAACATGGTATTTCAACATGGTGGCCCAGGTGGAAGAGGACCTGCTCCCCCTGTAGATACATTTAGCTCATTCTAAGGTAATGAAAACTAAATGTTACACAGTGGACCTTTTAATACTTCAACTCTTTTTCCCTCGATTGTACCATATCTGAGGTGTCTATTCCTCTATGAATTTCATTTTCACCTTCTTTTCTCTCTTTTTTTCTCTGTTACTCAGCTGGCCTATCTTGGATAAACAATGGTATGTGGCCTTGGTATATTTTTCCTTCTTGTTGTGTGTCAATTGTGCATACACAGCATCGAGGTTTCCTCCCTTTGAAGGTCACTAACATCTCATGAGGTTTTAACAAATTAGCAACAGAAGTGTAGAATATAATGACATAACAAACATTTCTTATACCACTAAAACACTATGCATTAACAAGTGAATGTTTTATTTTTGGATCAAAGTTCTGTTTCAGTTTACAATAATTTCCACTTTAAAATGTTTAACTTACAGACACATACGCACACATACTAGGCTGCATACCAAATAAAAACATGGACAAAAAGACCCTGATTATCACATAATTCTTTCTGCTTCTGTTACTTCATGCTCTGCAGGTTTACTGGTTCCCATACTGGTGGGCTCTGCACTGGGACTTGCTCTCATTGTCACTTTAATATGTTGTCTATTAAGGCAGAAAAGGTAAGCAAAGGGGAAAAAGCACAAAGCAAGACCATATCATGCCTGATGAAATCATGTTCTGCCCGTAATACAGCTCTGGTAAACTTTGTAATTTCAGAGGGATCATCGAAAGTCAATTTGCATACACCCCCCACACACGCACAGAAACACACACCCACATAAATATAAACTGGATAATTTGCGGAGGGTATTTCAAGAAAATGGTTAACCTTAACTGACCCCATCATCTGGGGTCAGTGTTTTTTTAAAGAATCAAAGACTTTATAGGGGCTGTGTCCTCATTAGTTGGGAGTTTTGGGAACGTAGACTCACTTTTGCCGCTCTTAGTCACCCTTGACAGTTTGACGTTGAAATTATGAGCCTATTTTGTATAATTGTGGTTTTCCATAAAAAAACTAGTATACTTTCTTGGAATTGCATTACTCTCTGAGATTTTCTGTGGTAGATGTATGGTAGGGAGAGAGAAAGAGGGAGGGTCAAGAGCAGTAAAATTAGATTTTTAAAAAAGTAGAATTAAAGTCCAGTGTGTAATATTTAGGAGAATCTAATTGCAGATATGGAATATAATATTCATAGGTGTGTTTCCATTAGTTTATAATCACCTGAAAATAAGAATTGTTGTGTTTTCATTGCCTTAGAATGAGCCATTTATATCTACTGAGGGAGCCGGTCATCTTTTACGGAGTCCAACATGTTGAACTACCGCGTTTGGGTAGTGGTAGTCTGGGTAGACCAGAATGGACAAATCAAACTCTGGCTGTAGATATGGCCTTTTGCGTTTTCTTGTAAATGGTCACAATATGCAACTTCACTGCTTGATGCCACTAAATCCTACACTCTGGACCTTTAAGAAATACATGGCTTCTCTTTACATGTGAAATCTGAAAGTAATAATATTATATTTTAAAGAAATTGCCTCACAAAAAGAAAAAAAACCATCGAGCAGATTTCAAACAGATTACTTTTTGTTGCGATTTTAATGATGAAATGCCCATATCTCATACATGTTAAATACATTTGATAGAATATGAAGACACCATAAATCAGTAATTTTCAGCAAGTCCTCCTACTTTTAAAAATATATCTGAGAAAAAGGAAATACATCTTCGAGATTAAATATGTAAATGAGAGGCACTCCAGTGCTAAAATGTGCTTTGAAGCTGCCTCCTCATCTGTAGTTATCACTTCTTCTCTTCTATTTCTTCATGCTAATGAAGCACAGTCTGCTTATGGAGGTGTAAGGCTAAGTGGCAGTCTCATCACAGATGGGTTGGTAGCAGGCTTCCTACATTAAACAGTGTCAAATGTTCCTCCTATCTTCAAATGTTCCTTCTCTGTCTCTTTCTTCCAGCTTCCAAAATAATTACTGTATGTTTCCTTACACCAAAAAAATCAGCAGCAACAATTATCTGTTTGTACATGACTGGCCTCTTGAGTAAAGGGAAATTGGGCAACTGTAGTGGAAAACATGGATAAATTCCAAGGTGTGGGGGAAAATGATAACCCTCATTTTTAATTGCCCTCAACACTTCAACATCTTGCTCATATATCATGGACCTAAATGACAAGTTTTCTTGATTGCAAAATGAAACGTAGCAAGAAATAATTTATGGCCTTGAAATAAAGAAAACATCTCATTTAAAAATTAAAATTGGATGTTTTTAGGGATATAATCAAATTCTGAATGCATTGTGCTCCTTTTTATTCCTTAGAGTTGGTTCTCAACAGGACAAAAGCAAAGGTGTTGGATGCAACATTGGAGAGAGAGATGAGTACGGCTCAAGAGTATAGCTCATCGCTCTGGACCTCACTTCAAAGGAAACTTCAACAAGACCACAAGACCGTTGCCCTTTTGCATCACTCACTCTGTATTTGTGAAACTCTCCTGGACATTTGTGGAAGCATGAAAGGTTTAAGTAGATCACATAATAATGTTTGCATGCAGCTCTGGGAAGCACTCTGTTTTTTCTCAAACCACAGTCTGGACGTCCTTTGCTGTGTTGTGGTAGGCAGAACATGGTAGGCCTCCGTGCTGGACGTTTAAAGGGGTGTTTAATGCTGTATGACTACTTCCTTAGAGCAAGAGGAGCAGCTGTCCTCTCTAATCCCCTTTTATTTATCTGACACGATGTGGTGAGTTTCTTAAGGAGACCTCCACACAGAAGCTTCAAGGCAAACACAGTAAGGCCTGAGCTGAACTGGTGAGAGTCTCAGGTCAAGTCCAGCCATGGCACCCATTCCCTTGGGCTGTCCTGCTGTGGAGGAAAGCCCAACCACAGTCCAAACAATAGGGGGACAGGAGTTGACAGGCATCCTTGATGGTAGCGTGGCCTGAGAGGGATGGGCTATACCACATTTCCACCAAGCCTGTACTTAGTGTTGCTCTATGGATTTTATAATAAAAGGGCGCTTAGCTTTCTACAAACACAGAAGCACACAGTCCCTTCCCTGTGAATAATGCTGAGAAAAAAAAGGCTTTTGTGTTATCCGGCTGCATGTGGGCTGACCCCTAACCCCTGTCCGCCAGTCGGATCACAAGACTCACTCCCCAGCACTCCTGAGAGCCTTCTCAGTTAGACTGTAGCCTGCATGTACAGTTATCCACGGGACTGCTGGAGGGTTGTATGTCATCACCCTGACAGGGTTACCCTTGGCCATTATATCATCTCTTCTACCTTTATTATATTCAGATCATTTCAGATGCTTCAGAGTTTATGTTAGGTGTACAGTGAAGTATGTGCATGCTTGTGGAATAGAAGGTGACACTTTAACTGTAATACCAACCTTTAGATACTTTAGATTGTTTGAACAAGCTATCAAAAATGAGAAGATGATGTGGTAAAGAGAAGCACAGGACTGTTCCTCCACAATAAAGTGTTATGGCAGTGCACACCACATCTTCCATGACATTTATCAGTCCTCCAACATATCATTTTGCCCGTTCATTGCTGCTTGTGGCCTCTTTAAACTGTTGCTATCCTGTTGCCATATTGTAAAACAATGTGCCACTCCATGTGTTAAACTGTTTTGTAAGTTTTATTTGTGCCATAGTGTTCGTTATGGTTGTTACTTTGTGTATTACTGAGGGTGTTTTCATGTTAGGTATGATTGCTCCATACTGTGCCTGAGTACTGCATTACATTTCACATTAGAAATGTTGCTCTGTACCTGAGTACACCTGCGTCATCATCTACGTGACATTTGTTCATGTTGTTTCTACAGTGTAGAAAAAGCCCGCCAATCACAAGATCCCAAGCCTATATGCTATTCATATTTATATTTATTTATTATTCATATTTTATCAAGATTGACCCTGTTGCCTACCTTGCTACTTTATCAACCATATTGCGCACCTTCGTGTTTTTGATGAATGAATGTTGAGTTAAAAGTCAAGTGTAATCGGATGGGGTCCAGGTCCCTGTTGTGAAAGCCTTTAAGTGTAAATAACTGCTGTGTCAGAATAAAAAAGTTTAACTGTTTTGGCTATGTGTTTTCAATTAAAATGTCATTTTCATTACATTTTATGATCATCAATGCCAAGTCCCAGTCCCAAATCAGGCAGTAGTGGCCAACAGTCATATTTTGACCAATAAGACCTATTTTAATCCTTGATTACTTTATTTAAAAAAAAAAAATAATAAAAATAATTTTACATTATTTCACCAATTCTACCTGTTGAAAAGCATAAAAAAATGCCCACTGGTGACACAGTTCATCTTCCCGTACAGCACTGCCATCTAGCGGCTGCTTTCTTTAATTACAAAAACACTACGTTTTACTTCCGGGTTTTCCTGCCATCGTTTCCCGTAGATTTCCGTGGTTTTGACGTGTGAAAAGTCTGCAGGTGTTTTGTGTAGTTTTCAGGAATGATGTCTCAGCAGCCTGTGCTGAAGAACAGGCGCACTCTCCTCGAGAGAGCAGAGAAGTTTATCTCTGAGATTTATTTCACAGACTGCAACCTGAGAGGACGGTAAGGCTGCTTTCATACAACTGCACTGCATCTAACTTAACTGAACGGTGGTAGTACAGTAGAGCAAATATGTTCCTGCAGGAGATCAGTCTGAAATAAAGAAATAAAACAAAACAGCTGTGAATCTCTGTAATATCTACAGGGAGTTTGTCTTTTGCATGCATTTTTTTTCTAGGAGTAAATGCATTAAGGTCTAGGTCTACTCTGTCCTAAACTATATAACCTCATGTACTGCTTTAAGAAAGTCCACAGGTTGTCCACATTTACTCATCTGACCACATGCTCCATAGTTAATGTGTATGGAATTGTTCAGATCTGATCATGCCATCATTGTTTTTTTTTTAAAGGGTTTCCTTATCTGAATTTAGGGTCGAAGGTCAGAGGTATTGTAAAGACATTTGAGGCAAATTTAATGTTTTTATTATTCTCTGCAGACTCTATGGAGACTCTTGCCCGCTGGAGTCCCTCGCCTCCTTCTTGTCCTCTAAACGGATCACATTCACGGAAGCATCCAAGCAGAACTTTGCACCTCATAAAGTGGGTGATACCTTTGGACCGACGTAAGTATTATTGTCAGATTTTATCATCCTCAAATCTGTTATGCTCTAAGATCTTGGCAATAATCCAACTTTGATGCTCGTTGTAGGTGGTGGACCTGCTGGTTTAAAGTGACCCTGAACATCCCTGATTCTTGGAGGGGGAAAGAAGTTCACCTTCTGTGGGAAAGTGATGGAGAAGCAATGGTTTGGAGAGATGAGCAGCCAGTTCAGGTAATAAAGCAGCCGTTTCGGACTAGATTAAAGTGCCAAAATCTATGCTAAATCTATGTCTAGACTGAGGACATGTAACGTGTGGATTTGTAGGGCCTGACTAAAGAGGGTGAAAAAACAAGTTACATCCTATCTGACTGTTTGAAAGATGAGGAGCCACACAGGTCAGATACATAAATTATGAGTTCATTACAAATTCTGTAACCAACTTCACTTACTGAGCTTTTGGGCGTCTCTCAACTAAAATGTTCTTATTTTCTCTTGTTCTTTAGCATCACCCTTTATGTAGAGGTGGCTTGTAATGGGCTTTTTGGAGCTGGTGAAGGATCCATGATTGCAGCCCCAGATCCAAACAGGATGTTTTCTGTACAGAAGGCCGAGCTGGTGGTATTTAACCGGGAAGTACGGGAACTACTGACTGATTTTGAGATGCTGATTGATATTGTGAAGGTACAGCCACACAAAAACATTGCTTTCCTTTTTAATTCAATGGAAAATGTAAACTTCCACAGTTTATTTCTTCTCTTCCTTCCCAGGAGCTCGGAGAGGGAGAGCAACGAGGCTACCAGGCACTCTTCACTGTCAATGAGATGGTGAACCTGTGTGATCCCTGCGATCCTAGCTCTTTCTCCAAAGTACACAGTCTGGCTCACAACTTCTTTAGCCAGCGAAATGGAGAAAGCCAGCACAATACTCATGCGATGGGTCATTGCCACATAGACTCAGGTCTCAGTTTAATTTCTATTGTTGAATAGAGCTGAGGGTTGATCCACTTTTTGGGTTCCGACCAAAATCTGAGTCTGAGTATTGAAAAACTGTGAAAACAAAGCTGGTGCTGAATACCTGGTCAGATTTGTAGTCTGGTTTGCTTCTTCATTAATGAGATATTTACTGATTTAAATTACAGTTTTGCCAATGTTCGACCGTTTTAATTAGGCAGCATTATTCTCTGGCGGCCTGTGTTCAGTTTCTTTTGTTAAAGAGAAATGGGTTTTTGTAGAAAAACTTTTTTTTTGTCAAAGTATGGAAATATTTTTGGTATCTGCACCGTATATCAGGTATCATGTAATAAGTAGTAGCAAAAAGATACAAAAAAATTATTCTCTGCCCTATTTTCGAAGTAGAGAACTAATAGAAGAGGCATAAAATCTTACAATAATCCCATTTTTGCCAAATGACTCAATGTTTACAACTCTGTATCTGCAGCATGGCTGTGGCCCTATGAAGAGACCATTCGTAAATGTGGCCGAAGCTGGGTGACGGTGATCCGTTTAATGGAGAAGAACCCAGAGTTTGTTTTTACTTGCTCTCAGGTGGGTTAACCCTAACCCACTAATACAGTTTCACATGAGCCACGATGCTTCTGCAAATCTGAGCAGTCCTCTTCAGTTTTGACCTTTTCTTTTGCTTTTTGTCCAGGCCCAGCAGTTCCAGTGGGTAAAGAGCTGGTACCCGGGACTCTTCTCCCAGATTCAGCATTATGTCAAGAAAGGCCAGTTCATTCCAGTTGGAGGAGCGTGGGTGGAAATGGTGAACTTAAAAATTATTCATATCTTATGAATTTAATTATTCAGGATGCTGCCTTTCAGTTGGTTCTATGAAAATGGTATCCTAACTTAAGATGTACTAATAACATGTTTGCCTTTCAGGATGGCAATCTGCCCTCAGGTGAGTCCATGGTCCGGCAGTTCCTGGAAGGTCAGCGCTTCTTTAACCATGAGTTTGGGATCCATTGCAAAGAGGTATGGATTCCTAAAAAATGAGCTGACCTTGAGTGGCCACTTTGTCATCACATATTTATAATATAAGAATGTTTTCTTTAGTTCTGGCTTCCAGATACGTTTGGCTACTCAGCCCAACTTCCTCAAATAATGCAGGGCTGTGGCATTTCCAATTTCTTGACACAGAAGCTTAGTTGGAACCTGGTCAACACCTTCCCGGTAAGTAATGTACCACTCAAGGTTAAAAAAAAAAAACTTCCACTAGAAGAAAAGTTTCAGTTCTACTTTCTCTTTCCCAAAGCACAACACATTTTTCTGGGAAGGTCTGGATGGCTCCAAGGTTTTAACACACTTCCCACCTGGAAATTCCTATGAAATGAAGGGCAAGGTTGAAGACGTGAGTTTGGTTTATAGTGCACACTACATGGTGAATGTTGAGTCTAAGAACATTTACAATTCTCACAAGACTTTCTTCTGCCCACAGCTCGTAAAAACTGTGAAGAATAACAAAGACAAAGGCAGAGCCAATCACAGCGCTGTGTTGTTTGGTTTTGGAGACGGTGGGGGTGGACCAACACAGCTGATGCTTGACCGACTGCACCGAGTCCGGGATACAGACGGACTTCCCAAGTCAGTTTCTGTCCCACGCTTTAACAGTCATGAGTAACCACTAAGCCCAAAGCCTAGACTGAGGCGGAAACACTTGAGTCATTAGTTCTTTATTCTATATACTTCCGGCCAGCACTGTGGGAATTCTTTGATGCTTTTTGGAATTAAGGTGTGTCAGCACGTAAACTGTGGGCCACTTCAAGCCTGTTAAAAACAAAAGGATATGGGTGATATCTACTGATGTCACTACTCTGTTCTTCTTTACAATACTAGTCAATACAATCATGTTTTAGTCATAATGAATAACAAAGGTGTAACCAGAGACGTCATTCGTTACTACCATCTCCAAATACTCTGTGTTTTATAGGGTCCAGATGTCCAGTCCTGACAGGCTTTTCTCTGAGCTTCAGGCTGACTCAGCTCTGCTTTGTACTTGGACGGGAGAGCTCTTCCTGGAACTGCACAATGGCACCTACACCACCCAGGCACAGGTAGAAAAGTAGTCTAATATAAGAGGAAATTCAACTTTACAATAACAAAACTAATACGATTTCTCTGGGAGTAAAGAAAAATCTAAGCAAATAGGATAGAAAATAAGAAATAACAGCAGTATGAAATTATGAAATATATAAATGCATTGAGGTTTAATATTCACTGGTGATGCACTCAGGTAGACTGTATGGGAAGTTATATATTTCTAAAAATGTTTTCTACAGGTACAGAAAGCATATATGCAGGGAGCAGGGATAACTACTGGTAATACCCCACAAAATAATACAATCCCATACAATGCCACAAAATAACCACAAATGTGAGGAAAACATTATACTTTAAAAAAAGAAAATAGACATATCTAAAGTATAAAACCACCCCAACTGAATGAAGGATAAAAGTGCTACAAACTACTAATGTGTTAAAACAATTTAAAATGTTTGAAAAAGTTATTTTCATGGTATCTTTGTTGTTTCCAGATTAAACGAGGAAACCGCCAGTGTGAGACACTGCTTCATGACATTGAGATAGCCAGCAGCTTGGCGCTGTGTCAGGATGGGACTTTTCAGTATCCTGTGGAAAAACTGCAAGAGCTTTGGAGGTCAAGCCACACCATTTTATAGTTTCATGATGAGGACGAATAAATAAATGGCTTCTATTGTCAGAGTATGAAAATTATGTCTTTGATTTTTCCCTCACAGGCTGCTTCTTCTAAACCAGTTCCATGATGTGATTCCCGGCAGCTGCATTGAGATGGTTGTGGAGGATGCACTCCGGTATTATGAAGGTACAGTTTTAAGTAGCCGTCCATTATAATCAGAGCCATATTGATCTGTTGTTTTCCAAAGCAAAAAGTACATCACACTGTGTTTGTTTTTAGATATCCGCCGTGATGGTTCTACACTGCTGCATAATGCCTGTGGAGCCTTGGGGTCAAAGGGCAATTCTGCTGGTGTGTTCAACTCTTTGCCATGGGAGCGCCATGAAGTCATCCAGATTCAAGATGGTGCTGGTAAACCTGATCTGGGTATGTTGATACTTATATATACACAGATGGGTGACACATTAAAGGAAAAACCTGAATGAGTGGCGAAACATGAGGAATACAGTTTCGTGCAGGACATGAGTGGTCACTTATTGGTTTGATGAGAATGAAAATGATGAGTGAATCGGTTGATTAATTGAACACCTATGGGAGGATGGAGATGGCTCCAGACAAGGAGGTTTGTGTTGGTTTTTCCTTTAAACTGTCACCATTCTGTATATTTACAATATTTATGTTGTTGCTTTCAAAATTACAACTGCATATTTGATGCTCTGTGGTATCCGTTGTTCTGCAGCTCTGGTGAGAGTTCCCAGCATCGGTTTGTCTCCTGTTAAGGACACACAGCCTGGGACTCAAGTCTCTGTCTCTATTCAAGTATGTACAACCCATTACTTGCCTTTTCCAGCTCTGAATAAGTTTCACTAAATCATCCCACCAATGCCAGTGATGACAGTACTTCCAGCTCAAATGTGGCTTTCGTGGGAGGCTGTGGTTGTGTGCAGGGCAGGGTGATGAGTTCAATGGATAAAAAAAATTAAAAATCTCCTGGTCCCGACAGAGCCGGCTCACTCCAGAGGGTTTGGGGGCAGGCTCAGGAGGTTGCAACAGCTATCTGCAATAGGCCAGCATTTTCCTAAAGGTTTGGTCACAGCCAGAAGCAGATTAGCAGGTCCAACCCAGCTGACCTCTGCAGAGCCCTAAAACCCCCGCAGTGCCATTGTTGGTGCCTTTATTTCTTATGTCTCCCCTCTCTCTTCTTTTCTCTATAATAATCTTTATTTATAGAGCACTTTTAAAATACATGTAACAAAGTGCTTCACAAAAAATACAATAAAAGTAAAGTCATCAAATTTTATAACAAAATTTCAAACAGATAATACTCAATCAGAAAGGACTCTCCAATAAAAATAAGAACAGGCCTAAAGGAAATCACTGACTAACTGACCTGATTTCCTTCCACTCTTGGCAACAGTAACTTCCTTGCATATTATTATTGTTTCCTTTTTTTTCTGGTTTTGTTTAGTCTAGTTTTCTCATTTTTCCTCTGATTGAGTGTACACGTTATGTTGCTTATAAACCTTTTCCTCTGTCTATTTCTATATGTTGTACATGTCTCTCCCTCTGTCTGTGTTTATGTACTGTCCCTTTTGCACAAAAAGAAGTATGTACTATACATAGAGAGCATTTAACAAATTTAGCTTTGATGTAATTTAATTTGGCTAACTGAGACGTTTAACATTACAGGCCGATGGCACCATCCTCATGGAGAATGGGATTTTGCAGACTGTCATAAACAAAGATGGCACTTTGGCATCGCTGTATTTGATCAGTGCAAACAGGTACTGTAGGACCACATATGACCACCTGTGTATTTTGTTTTACAGCATTAACATTAATAAATTAATCGTTATTAAATATTAATCTGTCTCACCACTCTGATGGTTTCAGGGAAGCCATCTATGACAGCTGTTATGGGAATCAGTTTATCATGTTCGATGATGTCCCTCTGTACTGGGATGCTTGGGATGTGATGGACTACCATCTGCAGACGAGGTGTTTCATTGTGCCATTACAGTTACATCCATCTTTCGCCACCTTGATACTCTTTTACACTATTTGCAGGCATTGTAGGTATCAATATAAAAAAACTAACAGCAGAAATGGCCTTATAGAAAGCCGGTGTTGGAGGTGGTGCAGCCAGTTCGTGTGGTGTCCTCAGGTGGGCTCCGAGGCAGTGTCAGCTTCACCCTCAGGATCAGTGATAAGAGCACGATCACCCAGGAGATTGTCATGGACGCCATGTGTCCTTACATCAAGTTCAACACAGAAGTACTTCATTCATTCACGATATCTCGAAAAATCTAGAGAATCACTAATCCAACAGTTGACCAACTTTTCAGTACCCAAGCAATATCAGTTGCATCGTCCAATTTCAGGTGAAGTGGGCAGAGTCTCACAAGTTTCTCAAGGTGGAATTCCCTGTGCGAGTTCACAGCCCCAGTGCTACATATGAGATCCAGTTTGGTCATTTGCAGAGACCCACGCACAGGAACACTTCATGGGACTGGGCCAGATTTGAGGTACGATGCTGTACGAGTAATGTTAATGTACAATGATCTCCACAGGTATTTGGACAGCGGCAAATTTTTGGTTTTGGCCTGTTTTGGTCCTGCATGTCTAAATTGTAGGATGGCCAATGTCAGTGATGCTGCAATACTGTGTATTGTTTTTCCATTATGGTTTTCTTCTCAGGTTTGGGGTCACAAATGGGCCGATTTGTCAGAGCACAACTTTGGAGTTGCACTGCTGAATGACTGCAAATATGGCTATTCGGTCCACAAGAACACTATGACACTGTCTCTGTGAGATTTCCCACTGTTCATATACAACAGTAAAACAAACAGTACAATTCAGTTACACTTACTTTAAATAATCCTTTCATCTAATAGTAGATGTCTTTGTTGTAGACTGAGAGCAACAAAGGCCCCAGATGCCAATGCTGACATGGGGACTCATCATTTCACCTACGCAGTCATGCCACACACAGGTAAGGATGTAATTGTTCTTGTAAATAATTTGTTCTCATTAAACTTCAAAAGTCTAAAACTTAGAATATAATGTTTTTCTGGGTTTTAATACAGGATCCTTTCAAGATGCCTCAGTCATCCAGTGCGCCTACAACCTCAACTTCCCTTTGAGGTCAATCCGGTGCACTCCTGACACGGTGCCCTGGAATGCCTTTTCCATCAGTAGTGCTGCAGTCATCCTTGAGACCATTAAACGGGTATCCAATTAAACCCCATGCTTGACCTTGCTTCACTTAATCCACTCAGACTGTTAATGGCTATTTACTCTATTTACCATAACAGGCCGAGGACAGGAAGGGTGCACTTGTAGTCCGGCTCTATGAGTCACATGGGAGCAGCGTGACTGCAACTCTCTGTACCACCCTTCCGGTTAGGGAAGCCTGGCCGTGAGTTTCTATTTTTATTGTTTTAACTGCCATCTGGTACATTTGTTGTATTGTTTCTAACAACAAAACCATTTTGTCCCATTCCCAGTTGTGACCTCTTGGAGAGACAAGACCCCACCCAGCCAGCACACATTACGTCAGAGGGAATCATTTTGAACTTCAACCCCTTTCAAATAGTGTCACTTCTCCTCATTTTGTAATACATATGGCATTTCCTATCGTCAGGGTTGTCACAAATTGAATATTAATAAAATGCTTTGGGCCTAGAAACTAGTTAAATAATCTGGTGCTGTTCTATTGTTGTTTTTCAGGAGACTTTAACTTTGATACATTGCATCATATCAATAAAAGGTTATAGAACTTTTGTAGAAACATGTTTTTATTTTAAAAAATTGAATTGTATAAAAACATAAAATGGTCCCAAAAAGTGGTTTCCTGCCTTTTGGTTTCAATTGCTTTTCTGTCTGGTAACTCTCCCGCTCCGCCTCAGTGGACCTGCAACAAAGTTGACTGAGATTTAAATTCTTCCAGTTCTCCCCCCAACAAAATAAAAAAACTTGTTTCATTTTGACTGAATGCCTTCATCTCACCTGCAGTTGTTGGCCCAGCATTGCTGCTTTTCCTCCTACGTGCAGTTGGTTTCTTTTCATGCGGTGCGTTTCCTTCTTGGGTCTTGGATCGGGACTGCTTGACACGCGCATCCTTGTTTTTCTTTGGTGTTTTGGTCACAGTTTCCTGTTTGACTTGTTTCTTTGTTGTGTTTGCAGAGCGACCTCTGGCCACCTAAAAAAAGTGTGTTTATGTATTTATGAAGCACTTTTCAAGGTTAGGTGCTTCCAGATTAAAAAAATATACTAAACAAAAATTTTAATCAGAAAAATTAAGAATAAGAATAAAGTGCAAAATATTCATATAAAAAGTAAACTGATACTAAATCAAGCACATTTAAAATACAGTTTGTGATGATCTAAAGCACCACAAAATAATGGGAAGGTAAAACATGTTAATTGTAGGCCATCTTGTAAAGGTGAGTCTTCGAGAAGCATTTAAAAGCGACAGGACCTCTAGACACCTGGCTGCGTGGTGATATAAAAGCATATAAAAGAGCTGTTTCTGACTGTCGTTTTAGTTTAGTTCATTGTCAAGTAAAAAGATTACTGTTTATACCTTTTTCTTGTCTGTGTAATCATGGTCATCTTCTTTCTTTGCCCTCTTTTTTGGCTTGGGTGACTTTGAATCTATTGCGAGAGAATGATCAGTCAGATGCATCGACTACTCTCAGATACATTTCTGCTTAAGTTTGCAGCGTCATGTATTCAAAAGTATTAAGTACCTTTAGGCACCATGGGACCTGGATCTCCCTGAAATGAGAACAGTAGGTATTAGTATCTGTGATATATAATATCCTGCAAGGGATTAAAATATAGCATTTTCCTTGAACTCACTTTGAACCACATAGTTCTGCCATTGTGGTCCCGGATGGATTTCATTCCATCAACGTAGTAACACTGCAGCCACGCCTTAAAGCCAGAATAGTCTGCCTTCTCTGGATCATATCCCTTTCCACCTGAATCACAAAATGTGTCGAAAACAGGAGGCATTTCACAGGAAAAAGAAATTGTGTTATCTTTGAGTAAGACTGTAATAATACGTCTTTCGCTCAAAATGAAAGCTATCAGAATCTTTGAAGTACAGTAAGCACAAGAAAACCCACCTAGGCTCACCACCTCCAGAGGTACTGTATGACACAGCCTCAGCAAGTCCCCCGTCTCCTCTTTCACCCTCTTCTGTTTAGTTCTGTCAGAGGGCTTAGTAAAGAAAGGCACTGTTAAAAAATGCAAAGCAGTGAGGGTTGAGCATCTGATCTGAAAAATGTCTGTGTTCTGAGTTCTTTCACCTTTTTATCTGTATTCTCTTTTTTCACAGGCTTCTCACTTTCACATAAATCTTCTGAATCAAGGCCTTCAAGTGTAGTCCTGGCAGCCACAAAGGGTGGGATGTTCAACCTATTAAAAGATTGGAGAATAAAAAGACCCATTCTTTTGAAGAAGAAGGCTTTTTTGTTTTTGTTTCCGACTCATAGAGCCTCCTCGCAGGCAGTACACAGTACAAAACTTAAGAAATGAAAGAAAGCCATTCATTTCATATCTGAGGGAAAGAGGCCTTGAAACACACGATAGCTGGAACTGTCAGCACATTTAACAATGCAAAACACGGAGAGACTCTCACGGGACAGATCGTAGTCGTCTTGTTTCTGTTTTGTTTCTTTTTAAAATGTGTACAGACCTACGGTTAATCGAGACCTGTCAGGACCAGGCTTTGCATCCTGTGTATGTGCCTGTTTTCTTTCACCTTTAGTTTTTTTAAACCACTAGTTACTTCTAGCATGGCACTACATAAGTACACTAGCCATATGAGAACATCTACAGAAATACAGTATCTGTTGACTTATTAGTAAGTAAATACTGTAGTAATTATTCACTGATCCACTGACTTTTTTCCCTCCCAATGATGTAATGATACCATTGCTTTCTTTTCAAATATGAACTCTGTATACCTCACTGCCTGGAACTCCTTTCGGTTATTCTCATGAAAGGAAACATGAGGCCGTGGCTTGCTTTGGCACTGAAAACAGAGTCAGCAGCTTGCTGTGACTGAATGGATGTAACTTCTAGAGGAAACACTGAATTTTAAAATATCATTAAAGAAGAAACTATATTTAATTATAGCTGAAAGAATTTGTTGATTAAAAATTAACTGGCAACCATTTTGATAAACGATTAATTGTTTTTGAGTCTTGTCAAACACAGTCTTCTTCTCAAATGTAAAGATCTTCAGCTTTTCTCTGTTTTATTTGATTGTTTTACAGATAATTAAAGAAAATCAGGAGATAAATCCATAGTTAAAGTAATTGTTAGTTACAGCTCTATATTTCAAGCGGATCATCATGTCATGGATGATACCTGATCCACTTGCAGTAATAAGGGCGGTATCAGTGCCTCCCTGCTACTTAACTGTATAATGTGTCATTTGAATAGTTGAGGGTTTGTGCATGTTTGTCACCTGAAAAGTATTTCGGCCCTCAGGTAGTTCCCGATACCGTTGAAGTACTTCTGATTGAGCAGAATTTCACAGATGGGTCTGTCAAAGGCGCTGTCGGAGAGGTGCGACACAACGTTCTCCCTGCAAAATGATAAACTGGTCAGTGATAGGGTGAGGATTTGGTTGAGCGGGTGACACATCTGACACTTAGCATTACAAACCTGAAGCTTTTGTACTCAAACATGACACAGGGCCCTCGGCTGGACTGCCAGGTCCCACTGGGCTGCCAGCTGCCAAACCTGCGTACATCCACAAAGCTCAGCACTCTGCAGGGCTTCTCTTTGGAATAAAAACGTAGGTGGGAGTGTTTGGGCAGCTCATCCTCTGTGGTGAAGCGGAAATTACCAGACATCCCAAAGCGAAAGACCACATCCATGGGCTGGTCTGCCTGTCCTGTCTTCAACCTCTGTTTTGTATCATCACTCTTTATAGGTGTCAGCGTGAGCTTCACTTCCTTCCCTCTGGAAGTGGCTGTGATCCGATAGGCCTCACAGGTGAAGGGCACATCGGGACTCTTGCTGACTTCGGATTTTCTTACGGGTCCAGTAAAAACCACTCCATTACACATTTTGTTTACGTACAGGCTGGCCAGGTGGAGCTCTGGTCCCTCAGGCATTTTGTTGGAACAAATGAAGCTGTGCTGCAACTGCAGGGAATAAAGTGGTTGAGCAAACATTACACAAAACCAAGGGCTTTAAAAGACAGTGAGGATGTATGTCTGCATGTCTTATTACAGCCTTTGAACACTCAATATATTTACATTTGACTGGTTTTAGGTCAATAAAATAATATATTTTTTAACTGTACATTCTTTGATTGCTTTGAAGCAGCATTCATGCCTTAATAATAAGAAAATATTACTAATATAACAGTTAACACAATGAATAAAACATGAAATAATTACAGAAAATACAAAAGACAGTCATTTATGTTCATGTTTTTTTCCAAACAGTGGTGGTACTGTGTGTTGGGCAGACTTGTAACCTCAGTGTTTCGGTTCCTGAAAGCACCACTGCACAGCCTCAGACACAACAACATAATCAGACCAACAACACGACACCACAGTCATTCATAGACTATACAATGTGACCAATCATGCATTTCTTGTGTATTCAACCAGTCTGAACAACACATTGTGTTTCTGCATTGCATAACAAGGGGGGGAAATAGCAATAGGTACACCACTAAGTACAGACATTCCTGGAGTAGAAACCGAGGTATCGAGGGATATATAACCAGGAAATAGACCTCACCGGTGATAAACTTGTCACGATCGCCGACTTCAGCTGAAATTACCAACACAGTTTGCCGGTTCCCCCACTCTCTTCAGGGCTGCCACGAGGAGTAGGTATGGCACTAAACGACGATGCTTTCACAACATGCATGTTACCAAACATGTTGTGCAACGGTTTTTTTTGTTTATACGGAAACATCGCGAGATTTCAGGCCTCACCACGTTCGTTATCCACAACTTCGTGTATTACTGATGTGGGCTGATGTTAAAACTAGAGGGTAACAATTAAATGGAGCTTTTCTAGCAGACGCATAAATCACTACATGAGCAAACAGCCAGAGGCATGCTAGGATATGTAGGCGTTGCGGGAAAAACCGACCAAGGCTTGAAATATCTGTTTTAGACTTTATTTTGTCATGTGCATATGAAGGTAAAACAAAAATTATCAACATAATTCAAAACGTGTTAATTATTATATACAATATTTTACAAAAATGGTCCACTCAGTATTCTTGTTTCAGTGAGGAATCACACAGTCTGGAAACAGCTCCACCAATTATTGCTGATGTAGAAAATAAACTTTCAATCTATCCGAAAAGGACTGAGCCATTCACATGACCTTTAAGTTCATACAAAAATTATACTGTACAAGATGTAAGTATGGCACTTTTGGCAGCCTATCAGCTTTGTTTGTGTCCGACTTCATTGTCCACTCTTTACTGCAGTGCATTCATCATAGCCTGGGCCTGCTTGAGCTCTGTGGAAACACAGATAGGAAAACAATTAACACAACATAAGTGTGGCTAATACAACTGTTTGGATTGAAAGAACGATGAAAAAAAACCCAGCAGGGTTAAGATGCGGAACTAACCTGCAAGCAAGACTCTGAACTTGTCAGCAGAAACAGAAACAACTGTTGTCTCTGCAGAGTCTGACTCTGCTCCTTTTGTCTGCAGTTTAAGCTGAATCACAGGTTCATTAACCTCTCTCAGCTCACTGGAACTCAGAGTGTAGTCGACCCGCCAGCACACAGCGTCCAGCCCTCCCACTGAAATTCATTGCAGAGCAGAACTGAGAACACCCTTAAGTCAGCAACCTCTCAGAGGACAGCTCGACTCATCAGTTATATTTGCCATCCTACTTTAGAAAAGGACAAGACAGACAGAAATACTTACGTCTCAGGCTTGTCTCTCTTAGTCTGTCTTGCAGTACAGAGTGCTTGTCTTCATATGATTTGCAGAGCCCTGTCGTATGTTCTAAAAGAATGGATGTGTGTGAATAAAAAAAAAACTAGATTCATTTCAAGTGCAGTCTTAAGCTGGTGGAAAGTCAGTTGCAACTGTTACTATTAATGCACCAAAGTCACAATGCACCACATCACTGACAATGGAACAATGCAGTAAGCTCCAACAATAACACAAAAGGCTGTGATTTAACCTGAATGTCTCCGGAAATGAGGAAGTGTTTGTGTCATGACCTATGATGCTTTTTTAGGCTCATATCCTGGGCACAGTTTAATATTTAAAACAGTGTGCAAGTGTGCAAAATATATTATTCTGTATTGAGGAGTCCTCAGTCTAAGAGCCCTGTGTGTCCTCCCCACAAGCTCTAGTTAATGCAGACACTTCCCATGAAATATTACACATAGTTAAATACATTATTCAGATGGTGTTACATTTGTTTACTCTTGGCACATGTATGGACAGAGATCTGTGCATGTGTGACTAAAGATAATGTGACATAATCTTAATTTGTATATCAGATATGGGGAACAGCAGTGGACTAACCTTTAGGCAGACCGAGCTGCTGCAGCTCACTGGACAATGATTCACTGTCAACATCGTGCTTTGCTGCACTGGAGAAAATGAAGCTGAGCACTGCCACACTAGCTTTGATGTCTCCGCTCTCTGCAAGATAGATTAATGTCATGAATGTATGTATGTTATATAACAAAACAATGCAATGCAAGTATGACAATATAATAGTGGGTTTATGAGCAGTACAGTAGTACATCTGCAGTACATTTTACTGCACTACATTCACTTGAAAGCCACAATTATGCTGAAGAAAAAATTATACATTGTTGTAGATTTAAGCATCAACTTGACTAACCACAAGCATAAAATGCTGCGAACACATAAAAACATTAGCAATAATAATATTTATTGGTTTAACACTCACAGGTGCCATTTTTCTCCATAACCAGTATTTTACTTTTGAGACTTTAAGTTTTTCTACTAATACTTAAGCACTTCTAATTAATAAATCATTTAATTTAGTCCCTTTATTTGTAATGTTTATAGTGGCATTTTTACTTTAACCGAATATTTCTCAACTAAGTACCAGTATGAGGAAGACTTACCAAACTTTGCATCTGCAGTGAGCTTTGCAACCTTGTCATACTATAAAAAAAGAAGAGAGAAGACAGCACTGAGTGTGTGTGAATATTGTATATAACGATAAATAAAAGATTATGTATGTAATCTCTTACATCAATGCCTTCCCCAAGCAAGTCCTTCAGCACTTGACCACAGAGGAGTTTCATTTTAACACTTGACTGTAACATTAATGAGGCAGAAGACACACGTATTAGTATTTAAAAACCACAATATTGCTTTATTGTTTAAGTCCTGGACCTTTATAATCACTTACAATCTTTGCCAGAGTGCTAATTTCGGCAAGTACCCAATCTGGACAGTCCAAATCTCCACAGAAACGGAACCGCTACGACAGAGAAGACATCACATGAGTGTTATTCACTGTAATATAACAACAGACAGCCCTGCTAGCACTGACTAGCTTAGCCTGCTAGCTACCCAAAAGCCGGACCAGACATCGATAGCAGAAGGTAAGTAATTCCCTATGACATTTATAAATCATTTAAATAAAACTTACTCCGGATAAACCTGCTTCTAAATAAGCAAAACAGTGTTAAATAGTACGTTTAATGCCAGTGTTTACCATGGTTGTCAGTCAGCTGAGCCGCTGCAGAGGGGAGAAGGGAACAGGAAGAGGTTTCTGCTTCCTCGCATCTGATTGGACGAGAGGGAGGAGGGGCGGGGCACTGCTCCTCAGAGGTCCTGATGGTGGATGGCAGCTCTGCCAGGTGAGCTGTCAGGGCTGCTTCTCCTAATGACTTTACATCTTTATGTCCACAACAACAACAACAACAACAAAAAAGATACATTACCTGTGTGGGATATCAGCTGTAAAACATGGATTTCGTATGCTGCTCTCTCTGTGATTGGTGTTGACTGATGAACACTACATCTACCAGATCTCACATAACTCTCTGAGTTCTACTTGACCCCCAAAAATAATGTCAGACAGTATGTTGGATACATTCCTTTGGCAAACAAAATTCATTTATAGCTACTATTCTTGAGAGAACTCATTTAAACTGTATTTTTATAGCTGGACTGGCAAATGAACCTAAACTTGAAAACAAGAATGGACAGCCAGTATCTATATTTTATGGCATTGTTGTTCCTATTATGGTTTGACTGTATATTATAGTTGAAGGAACATTTTTGTGTTTTTTGTGTTTTTGGTATTTTTTGTTTTTGTCTGTACTTGTTAACTTGTTTTTTGTTTTCCTTGTTTGTGACCCTGACTGCGAATCAAGTTTCCCATTTGGGATAATAAAGATAACTGAACTGAACTGGGCAGCCAGGATGAGGATTCTGTACTGCTTGAAAAATAATTATAACATTATTTTCAAGTTCCCAAAGAAAACTGCAAAATGTAAAACAATGGTGTAAAGTTGAAGAATTGGAATATCTTATATTGACAGATGATATTAGGTCTATTATTGATCGGGATTTGTGCCTGCATGGTTTGTCTCCCAGTTTTTAATCTGCTAATCCAAGGTTTAGAAATGTGTTGCTGTTGTGATACAAATCAAGGCCAAGGCCATATTAGAAGATCATTTATATGCAAAGAGACCCAAAAATGTTATAAACACAATTTGTCACTAAACAACTTGTGCTGATGTTTATATATATTTAGTTTTAAAAAATGGGGAAGGATTGTGTAGTACAGTGGAAAAGGAGATATATAATAAGCAGTGTGGGAATATTTCAGATCAGATGAGTCAATTGTTCCAGTCTGGTCTCAGGGAGCCTAAATCTAATGAAAAAGTACTTCAGTGTCAGTTTACATCAGAGGTAATGCCCTTGCTGTGGGCCTATTGTGGGATGGAACAGGAATAACCAACATAGATTTTTGCACAGACTCCCTGCAACCTTACGATGTCTCCTCTTTATGTTAATGGTACAATCAGATATGAATCTCATCAAGATGCAGATTTGTAATGGGGAAATTGTTTTAATGTCTGTCATATGATTTTATTTTATGTTTATTACTGGACTGTCTCCCTGCATGTAGCCTACAGCATTATTGTTTTCTCAAATTGCTACAGCAAAGGCTCAGCCAACTTTAGTGCCAAGTCAAGACTAAGAACCATTAGTGGGGCCTTGCCAGAGGATCTCAAGCAGCAATCAGACTCAAAGGGAATTAACTGAACACAGATAGGCAGGCATCTGACCATTCAATGTTTCAAAATCAAGCATATTAATTCTAAAACTCACAGGTAATCAGTGAAGGCCAGCAAGGATTGGTATGATGTGGTTGCTTCTTTTCTTGAGTTGCTCTCTTTGGATGTTTTCGTTTGCTGATACCCAAGTGAAGTGTGTTATAGTGGTCAGGTGTGGAGGAGATAAAAGCATGGATGACCTTAAATCTACATTATTTGAAAAGACCCCCAGACTAGAGGAAATATTGTTACAAATGATATATGACTTCTGTTTGGGGTCTCAGAGATCCCAGCTGTAAATCATGGTTTTTATCTCAGTGTGGGTAAAATGTATTGGGCGGAAAGGAATGTTTAATTTATGCACTGAGAGTCCTTCACACTTGGCATGCTTTGTTTTGGGAGGCTTGGATGGCTAGAAGCAGAAGATAAGATGCAGTCCTTGTACCACCTACAATGTTCCTGACTCCCCTGACAATAGGGAGTGAGAAACAACATTGACTGAGAATTACCCTTATTGTTTTACTTCCTCCCTGGTGGCGTGATTATTAGTGATTCTGTACTACGTACAACACAGAGTGTGTGACTGTAACGTCAAAGGAAAAAAAGCTATTTGTTCATGCATCTAAAACTTGAAATAGTTGCTTCAAAGTTTCTGTATGTTGTCACCATCATCAAATGTGCAATCCCACTTTGTAGCAAAGGGAAGTTCACTACTGTTATTCTGGATGTAAAAGAAAAACATATTAAGTTATGTTTATATCTTGAGCAATAAATGTTGTGGCCTAAAAAAAAGGTCTACTTTACAGTGGGTACGGAAAGTATTCAGAACCCTTTAAAATTTTCACTCTTTGTTTCATTGCAGCCATTTGCTAAAATCAAAAAAGTTCATTTTATTTCTCATTAATGTACACTCAGCACCCCATCTTGACAGAAAAAAACACAAATGTAGAAATTTTTGCAAATTTATTAAAAAAGAAAAACTGAAATATCACATGGTCATAAGTATTCAGACCCTTTGCTGTGACACTCATATTTAACTCACATGCTGTCCATTTCTTCTGATCCTCCTTGAGATGGTCCTGCTCCTTCATTGGAGTCTAGCTGTGTTTAATTAAACTGATTGGACTTGATTAGGAAAGGCACACACCTGTCTATATAAGACCTTACAGCTCACAGTGCGTGTCAGAGCAAATGAGAATCATGAGGTCGAAGGAACTGCCCAAGGAGCTCAGAGACAGAATTGTGGCAAGGCACAGATCTGGCCAAGGTTACAAAAGAATTTCTGCAGCACTCAAGGTTCCTAAGAGCACAGTGGCCTCCATAATCCTTAAATGGAAGAAGTTTGGGACGACCAGAACTCTTCCTAGACCTGGCCGTCCAGCCAAACTGAGCAATCGTGGGAGAAGAGCCTTGGTGAGAGAGGTAAAGAAGAATCCAAAGATCACTGTGGCTGAGCTCCACAGATGCAGTAGGGAGATGGGAGAAAGTTCCACAAAGTCAACTATCACTGCAGCCCTGCATTAGTCGAGGCTTTATGGCAGAGTGGCCCGACGGAAGCCTCTCCTCAGTGCAAGACATATGAAAGCCCGCGTAGAGTTTGCCAAAAAACACATGAAGGACTCCCAGACTATGAGAAATAAGATTCTCTGGTCTGATGAGACCAAGATTGAACTTTTTGGCGTTAATTCTAAGCGTATGTGTGGAGAAAACCAGGCACTGCTCATCACCTGCCCAATACAATCCCAACAGTGAAACATGGTGGTGGCAGCATCAGGCTATGGGGATGTTTTTCAGCTGCAGGGACAGGACGACTGGTTGCAATTGAAGGAAAGATTAATGCGGCCAAGTACAGAGATATCCTGGAAGAAAACCTCTTCCAGAGTGCTCAGGACCTCAGACTGGGCCGAAGGTTCACCTTCCAACAAGACAATGACCCTAAGCACACAGCTAAAATAACAAAGGAGTGGCTTCGGAACAACTCTGTGACCATTCTTGACTGGCCCAGCCAGAGCCCTGACCTAAACCCAATTGAGCATCTCTGGAGAGATCTGAAAATGGCTGTCCACCAACGTTCACCATCCAACCTGACAGAACTGGAAAGGATCTGTAAGGAAGAATGGCAGAGGATCCCCAAATCCAGGTGTGAAAAACTTGTTGCATCATTCCCAAGAAGACTCATGGCTGTAGTAGCTCAAAAGGGTGCTTCTACTCAATACTGAGCAAAGGGTCTGAATACTTATGACCATGTGATATTTCAGTTTTTCTTTTTTAATAAATTTGCAAAAATTTCTACATTTGTGTTCTTTTCTGTCAAGATGGGGTGCTGAGTGTACATTAATGAGAAATAAAATGAACTTTTTTGATTTTAGCAAATGGCTGCAATGAAACAAAGAGTGAAAAATGTAAAGGGGTCTGAATACTTTCCGTACCCACTATATATGCCACTGAGGACCAAATGCCCTTAATGTGGGCTTTTCGTAGGATCGAGTGGGAGGAAGCAATATAAAAAAGCTTGTAAACTGCAACCACGTCTCCTCTTTTCAGACATGATTCCCCCTCAGATTGCTTCTGTAATAGGCTATTTGAAATAAAGCACTCCTGTGGTGCGCAACCACCTAATATTAGTCCCTGCAACTACTTAATCTGTAAACATTTAAATTATGACATTTCATTACCTTTTTTATTGTCCATTGCATATGCTAATGTTTCATGTATTAAATTACAGCCATCAGATATAACATTATGACCACCTGGGCAACAAACTGTGATCACTGTTTGTTCTGACACTTTTCTATCAGAACCAGCATTAACTTAGCTTGTCTCTTGGATCGGACCACACATATCAGCCTTGGCCGCCCCTGACCCTGTTCCCCGCCTTTCCCGTCTTGGACCACTTTTAATAGATACTGACCAGTGCAGACCGGGAACACCCCACAACAACAACCGCAGTTTTTGGAGATGCTCTGACCCAGTCGTCCAGCCAGCTGAAATCCTCACGCTGCCCATTTTTCCTGCTTCTAACACATCAACTTTGAGAACAAAATGTTCACTTGCTGCCTAAATATATCCCACCCACTGACAGGTGCCGTGATATCGAGATAATCTGTGTTATAGTGATACGACGTATCTTTTATTACACTACCTGCCCACGTTTGCATTCCTGTTTGAGCTCTGCGTCAACGCTACTTCGGATTTCGACAGATGGATACAATTTAACTCCTCTCTACCTCTCCATCAGATAGACCTAATGTTTAGTTTCCCTAAACATCTAATCATTTTTACCTATTAAAAGACTACTAGACCTCCAAATGACCGGAGAGGAGGAGGAGGAGTCTCGCATATATCCGTTCCTGATCCATTTCATGCGGGAACAGATGTGATGAGGACAGTACACGACACACCATTGGCAGAAATGTTCTCCAGCTAAAGGTGCAAAATGAGGCGACTTGGTTTTATTTATATTTGGCTTGCTGCGGATTTTCAACTAGTCCTTGGTGTAGGATTGGAGGACACACCGACTCTCGGATCTAAAGATAATCCCAGAGTTCTGTGCAAAGGTAATGTTCACTTGTTACTGCTTCACCATCATTGTTTTGTTAAAAAAAATATTCTACAATGCTTTTAGATGCGTTCAGTGTCTCAGATCAGTGCGGACGGTTAGAAACATCAGTTAGAGAGTTAATCCCGTCCTCAAATCCGTTTAAGCCCGCTAAAATCTAGTTCTCTTTAGGTGACCCAAGTTTACTCTTGTGATGCAATGCAGTCATTGCGGTTCAGCCTAACCTTCAGCATCCTTGCAGTCCTAAAATATGACAATGTGACCCTTTCTTTCCTCAGATGTAATTTGTGGTGGATTTGAATACAAAGACCGTCAGAACCACAGTGTTTTCTTCTATGATGAGGACTCTGAGGAGCTGTATGTTGGAGGGACTGATTTTGTGTTCAAACTTGATGTGGATGACCATCATATTATAGAGGTGGGTGTTTTTGAACTAATACATTTTTAGCTGCTGTTTTACTTACCAATCAAGTCTTCTGTGTGGTTCATGAGTGCGCCAGTGGAGTCTGCCATGCAGCTGGGGTGGTAATTAGATTCGGTACTGTAACAGATGGTTAAGACCCCTTGTCACTCATTGTCTGTCTGCCAGCACCCACACAGATATGGCCTTTCAAAGCCAGCTAATAAATTCATGTCAGGAGGCACAGCGGATTAACTGCTACTGGTTAACACATGTCACAAACAGACCCTGATGAAAGTTTCTATAATAATCCAGAATTTTCAAGAAATTATAGTAAAGACAGCCATAGAGCTTCATTTTACCAGTGGATAGAGAAACCTGAGAAAGAAGACCTAAGATGGGTTTCAGCACCGGTTCATTTTTTATCTACTATCCAGCTATTTTAAACATTATGCAATCACCAAAACAATCAGGGTTTGGGCTGATACTGAAGTGCAACATTCTTTATTGGTTAGTAAGTGATAAGTAGGGTCTAACTATCCAAGTGAAAACATTATTAATTTGTTTACCAATTGATGTTCCCTGCAGAAATTTCCTCTGAAAACAACAGGACATCAACAGTGCCAAGAGGTCAGTAGCTAGAGAATGACAGCTTATGTGATCATAAATGTGACTACAAGTTTGAACGCAGTATAGATATCAGTTCTGTGTGATGACCTGGTAATAACAGCCTCTGTGTTGCAGGGCTCCTGTGAAAATGTTATTACTGTTATTGAGAAGTTTCAAGACAGCCTGTTTGTCTGTGGGACTAATGGAAACAAACCGCAGTGTTGGAAACTTGTAAGTGTTTGCATATATCACTGAGTTTGTCAGTCTGACATTCAGCAGTTTTTAGTGGCTTGTGGTAACAGCAGGGCAAAGCTCATGAAAGCATGGAGCTTTTTAGTGAAGCAGTTGTAATTAAACTTTAATTCAGTATCAGGTGTCGGTTTTTGGTATTTTTCCATCACAGGTGTCTGGAACTAATCTTGATATTCTGTTGACTTTCTGTGGTTCTACAGTTTTCTTCAGTGAACAATCAGTCGCATGAGATAATGGAGAGTTATGAGGGGACAGGCATCTCTCCATTCATATATACACAGAACTCCATATCTCTCACAGCAGGTATGTTACAGCTTCCTATCCAACCAAAGACTGTTTATGTCAGGTCTGCAGACTTATGTAACCATATCAACTCATATGTGATGTGATAACACAGTTGGCAAGCCATTGCATTTCCAAAGAAATATACTGAATAATTGAACATCTTTCCTCCCTTTCCTCTCTCTCTCTCTGTCCTCTCACTCTGTCTTATTTTTAGAGCGGGATCTATATTCAGCAGCACCTTTGGATACTGACGGAAGTTCATTACAATTCAGAAGGAAAGCTGGCAGCAGAACTAATGTCTGGATGTATGACAAGTGGGTCTCAGGTGGGTAAATGACTGTAGGTAATTCCTAATATGGGACTGAATACTACATGGTAAAAGTCTATTAGTACTGTGATGTGACAGCACCCCCCAATAAATGGGAACATCAGGGGAAATCAGCAAGAATCAAAGGTGTGTATAATAATGTGAAATTAAGAATCATGTTTTTCAGACTGAACAGACAAACCAAACACTATCTCTAGATATGGCCTTTTTGCGGGTTTCGCAGCCTCAGTAGTTTCTCCTTAGCTTAGAGTGGGAGTATGAAGCGAGGGAATTACAGTCATCAACTACATCGCTATATGCCACCAAAATCCTACACACTGGTGCTTTAATATTCCCATTGCATGAAAATGATGTGCTGTTTAGTTTCAGTTTGTCCTAAAACTGTTCAGCCCTCAACTTGTGTTGTTCTGGCCATTCCTTATTGCAGTTTCACTATTCCCTTTGTTTTGCATTCACATGCCAAGCTTTTGTTGTCTCCCAGCAGTTTGTTGAACATGTTTTTTTACAGAGCCCACATTCATCTCTGCATCCTGGGTGAAGCGGAAGGAAGACGCTGATAATGAGAAAATTTACATCTTTTTCCGCGAAAAGAATTCTGATAACAACCCCGAGGCTGACCCCTGGATATCGAGGGTTGCCAGAGTTTGTAAGGTACGCTGGTGTAGACTGACTTGTTTACTTGACTGCTGCAGTAAATTCCCCAAAGCCTCAGTAATCAATTTAACAACCAGTCAAATCTTAGGGATGGTAGATTCCACTCATATTGACTCCAGTTAGTAAATTATATGAAAAAAATATTGGTAGTTTTGAAGTGTTCATTTTAAATGTCAAAATGCTCTTATACTTTAGAAATAAAACAAAGATTAGTCAGTCATAACACTGAAATTTAGGTTGTGGGAGGGCGTGGCCATGATTCAGACTTGGTCTCAGCTGCTAAGGGTGTGCTGTACTACGCAATGTGGGTATGATCCGTTGTCATGATTTGATGATGAAGATCAGGAAAAATAAAGTCTTTACTCCACACTTTCAATACATTACATAACATACATGATATTCTGGCACACAATTACTTTTCTCTTCTAGTTGCTATTGGAATAAACAGTATTGTGGGACTTTTCAGTTTAAACTTAATGTTCTATGACAGCGTCTGCTCTGTCTCCTACAGTAGCCCTACATGAATATGCCTGCTGTAGACTGATGTTTGAAGTCCACATCAAACAGTTTTGTTTGATGTTGACTCTAATCTTTGTTTCTACCAGGAAGAGTGGTTAAGGTCTGCCTCTATTTACTGTTACATCAGGTCATTATGCATACTGACGGCTCAGCCTGCTGTCAGGGAAAAAATGAAAGGACAGGAAATTAATAAAGATAATAAAAACAAAAGATGAGGGTGACGAAATATATAGTAGACAGAGTGATATCCTCCTCCTACACTACTATTAGTGTAGTTGTTTCTACTGTTGTTGCCGTGCAACTGTCTGTCTGTCTGTCTGTTTGTCTCTCTCTCTCTCTCTCTCTCTCTCTCTCTCACCCCAACTGGTCGAGGCAGACGACCACCCACCTAGAGCCGAAGGGTCTGTCCTAGGTTTCTGCCTCTTAACAGGCAGTTTTTCCTTGCCCCCGTCGCCAAGTGCTTGCTCATGGTGGTACTGTTTCTGTAAATGTTATAAGGAGTTTGGTCTAGACCTGCTCCATTTGAAAAGTGTCCTGAGATAACTTCTGTTATGAATTGGTGCTATACAAATAAAATTGAATTGAATTGAAAATTGAATTGAATTGAATATCCTGCAGTTATGTGAATGCAATGACAGACTTGGACTAAAGCATACAAAAAGTTTTTAACCAGATTAATGTAGTAATGCAACCTTCTGCTACAGGATGCTCTTCTTTCCACCACCTGAACCAACGAACAGGCTCCTTCTTCCTTGATTAATAACCTGGCACATTATTTCTGTGGTGAAATACAATCTTTAAACAGCTTTGATATTTAATATCAGTACAAAACAAGACTTGCCCTAAAAGTGGTTAGCTATTTTGTGCCATATATCACGGTCCATGTAACAACAGTCCTATCAAATATCCCTTAGTTGATGAACTTCAGTTTGCAAGAAAAGTGAAAGAGCGTCTTCCTTGTGTAATTTATTGGCATGATTTTGCAGGTAGATGAAGGCGGATCGAAAAGATTCTTCCAGAACATGTGGACATCTTTCCTTAAGGCCCGGCTTGTCTGTGGGTTTCCTGAGGAGTCGCTATATTTCACCCGTCTCCAGGACATTTACGTGATTCACGCCGAGGACTGGCATGACACCCGAGTCTATGCCCTTTTCACAAGTAGCTGGTTAGACACTTCCCCATTTTTTTCTATCGTCAGCACCTAAGCAACAACACAAGCAGCACGTAGAGAGGGTCACACTTAATACTGAAAACTCAGCAATTTGATGCACATGGAGACAACCTTTTAGTCTCACCTTTCCTAATTGCACTTCCCCTTACATAAAGGACTGGTATGTAGGATTTAGTAGCATCTTGCTTTGAGATTGCAGATTGCAAACAGCTGAAACCTCTTGACTCCGCCAAACATCAGAAAATCTAGGGTGGTCGTGAAACTATCTAGAGTCATTGTTTGGTTTGTCTGTTCTGGGCTTCTGTAGAAATGTCTCATTTACAGATGATTATTACACTAATATGTCTGCAAACAGATCCTCCTAAATGTTACACATTGGATCTTTTTAAAGGGGCGAAAAAGCAATGTAGTTCTGCACTTCTATACATTTGAGACCCACAAAAGAGGCATTTTTAAATTAAAGCAGCACAGAGATAGCTTAAAAGAGACTTTAAGTCCTTGGTATGGCCAAGGGAGTTGCCCTTCTGGCTGCTGTGTCTAAACTGGAAATTGAGTGTAGTTATTTGTAAGTGTAAAGGAGGTTTTGCCCTATTGTGTAAGATAAATAAAGTTTGATGAATAGGGTTATATGTGTCTGGTGTGTTACATATTGTGAGTACCACACCCTATTTGGCCAATGTGTTAAATGTTTCTCAGTTGTCCTGTTCCCTGTGCCAAAAAGTTTTGTCATTAGTCTTTATTACTTTTAAGATATTTAATTTAACAGAATGAGGCAATGGGACACAATCGTAATCCTAACCACTACCATGGTTGAGGCAATAGCTAATATACAGATAAAAACAGTACTTTTTATGCTAACTTCAATTATCTTATTTTTCTTCTAGGAACTCCACAGCAGTGTGCATCTATTCAATAGAAATGATTGAAGAAATATTTGAGAACTCCACTTTCAAGGGCTATGACAAAGACATCCCCAAACCAAGGCCAGGAATGGTAAAGATTTGTTTTGTTACTATGTTACTGTGCAGAGACAAAGTACTTCTTATAACTTCTCTCCAACCCATACACATTGTTCATGTTCATTGTGGTTTGTCTGCCATATATTGCATGTCTCTGACTAGGATTGTAGGTTTAAATAAAAACTGGCCTGTTACATAAATGGGTGTAAACATGGAAAATGTGTGTGATTACTCATCCCCATCAGGTGTGGTTCAGTGTTTCCATCTACCAACTCAGATAGAAGTTGAGTTGATTTGGGTTCAGCCCTGTAGTTGAGGAAATAAAGTGTGGCTCTCTTCCCCCCCCCCAAACGTCTACAGAATTTCCTCTTGCTATAGTAAACACCAGATGTGTCTTGTAAAGAAACCCCTGCTCCATATATTCAAATGTTTTTCTTACTTGAGATACCCTCAGTTTTGTATACCTGAAGACGCTCTTACAAACATTAAATTTATGTTCCCATTTCCTGTTTTTTCAGTGTGTAAAAAACAGCAGGAGCCTGCCACTGGCCACTGTCAGTATAGTGAAGGATTACCCAGAAATGACTGACTGGGTTCACTCCGTGCACTATAAAGCTCCATTTTATATAAGCAGCAACAACTACACCAAAATAGCAGTGGATCGAGTACAGGCAGCAGACCAGGGACTGTATAACATTCTGCTGCTATCCACTGGTATGTTGTTTTTGAACTATTACTACAGTAACTACACTATTGATATAGATGGTATTTAGTGCTTTGTTGTGCTATTTATGTACTTCCCTGTTGATCTGGCTTGTAATTGTCTTTCATCTGTGTGGAACAATGGGCTAAAAATATAGCCTACTACTTGTTTGCTGTTTGTGTCCTATTCCAATAGATTCTGGGAAGATCCATAAAGTGTTAGAGGCTGGGTCAGAACCTTTCATCATCTCTGAAACACAACTATCCAGCAATTCATCCATACAAGCAATTGAACTTGACTCCAGAAAGGTGAGGCTAATTTAAATTAAATTATTAAATTTAAATTTTAATATTTTGAAGCTGCACTAATCAATATTTTTGTGTTAACCGGATCAAATGACTGTGTGCAATGTGACAGATGTTGCTTGTAGTAATAAAACCACAGAGAATGATTACCAGACTTTCCCTCAGATCTTTAGCATCTTTCACCCTATTGTTTTGGTTTGTTGGCCTGTTTTGGTTCAGTCTTCCAGCTCTTATCAACCTAATTTTCAGCTGAAGCTTATTAAAATAAAGCTCTAAAACCAGCTGTACGCTACCTGCACCAAACAGCAGGCTGATGTTAGTTACTAGTGGAGCATTTGGCTGCAGAGGAGCCAGGTATATTTACCCTTATGAGTTGGTAGAGACCAAAACAAAGCAGTAAGAAAGGGACTGTGGATTATACACACGTCAGGTAGCCATGAACACAATTCCAAATGCTAATGTTGCTTTGTGTCTGCTGGATGTGTAAATAGCCAATTATTTGCAAGTACATTCCCCATAGCAACTTTATATGGTGATAATACAGAGGGGTGATAAATTGAACCCTGAATGAAGGAGTAAAGAAACATGACAAATGCAGATGCTTTCACGTGGCCTACTTCTGTTGTTTTTTCCCTTAAGTTATCACCCATCTGGATACATGTTTACAGCAGGTTGTGCTGCGCCCAAGGTGGCAAGAATTCTATGAATGCAAGTTAAAAGTGGAATTGTGTGTCTGTTTCCCTTTGCTCAGAAAAAGTTAGTGGTGGGTTTTGCAGAGAAAATTGCTACAGTGGACCTCCAGAGGTGTCAGGACTACAACAGTTCCTGCGCAGATTGTGTTTTAGCCCGGGACCCGTACTGTGCCTGGACGGAGTTTGGATGCAACCCGACTGTCCAGTAAGTGTGACAGCGTTAACACCAAGACTCTTTAGTAGACTTTTAATATACAGTACAACGATATTGAAATAGCTGCTCTCTGCATGCTCTTTTGAATATTGCCTTTCTGCCAAACACAGGAATAAATGTTGATGCAGGATGAGAAAATGATTTTAGAAACTCAAAATTCACAACATCAAAGTCACTCATCTTTTACAGAAAAACGTGCCTGATGAAAAGTGTTGTTTTGTTCACAGCGGAGGCATTCAGAATATCATGGACGGGGATATAACTGTGTGCCCTACATCAGTTAAAGGTAACTAATGATGGGATATTATTCATATTATATACTTGCTAAGGGCTCAAAACATTTTTGTCACATCTCTATTTTAATCTTCTTTTCATTCTTTTAGAACAAAAGCAAGTAAAAAGGACCAAACGGATGACACCAGTGGATTCGCTTACAATTCACTCAGTCCATCTGGGTGTCCCTTTCTATCTGTCCTGTCCTATAGACTCCTACCACGCTGTCTACACCTGGAAGCATAATAATCACCAGGAAAGCCCTTGTCAGCAAATGCAGTCTAACTGCCTGCACCTCATTCCTTCCATGGCAAAGGAGAACTATGGCACATACCGGTGTGTTTCCACAGAGAAAGGCTACACCAAAGTGGTGAAAATGTATCAGCTTACAGAGCAAACAATCCCAGCTACAATAGGAGACAGAAGCAATATCCCTGACAACTTAAATGATTCATCAGCTGCTGTTCCGCAAACACAGATCAACGTTAGACTGGCTGTTGTGGTGATGGGTTTTCTGGTTGTGCATGACTTAATATTTGAAATGTAGCATCAATATTTTCAGACCCTTTGTCCTTGCTATTGCTAATCAGACCAGGATGCAGACAGCACTAAAGGAAATCCACCTAAACACCAGGGAATCTTGCATCTCAATCGTTCAAGAAGGAGCACTTCCACTATGAACCTAAAACCTAATTTGTGCAAGTCACATAGCTGTGTGTTGGCAGAAATGTTAGGCTTTCAAGTCTACAGGAACAAGCTTCGGCCAAGTTTATTTTTGAAAGGGAAGCCAGAGCAGGAAGAGATTGGTGTGATGAAGGAAGAAAGAAGCACAACCAGTAAGCAGTATGTTTAAAAGAGCCTTATGGTGTTTGTTTGATCAGCTGATTATGAGTTAATGATATCAGCATCCTGCATGAATTACGTAAATAATTAATTGGGTGTTTATATCTTCTCATTGTTAAGACTAGGAAAACAAAGCTGAAGATGTAAAAAGCAATCTGAAGAAGATGGTTTTACTGTAAGGGCAGTCTGAGGAATGACTATAGCACCATTAAAATGTTGTGATCTTGAGTGAGAAAACTGGTCAGAGAGCCACAGACAGTACAGTACAAGTAAGTAAACTCATAGCTCTTTAGTCCATTAGAAGTCAGCAATGTATGTGTTCCTGTGCCCCACCCCAGACAGGATCAGAGTGTAGGGGAGGGTGGAGGCAGCCAGGGACCCCTGAGGTCCCATGTTTTGTTAACTTCTCCCACAGAGTCAACAGTCAGAGGTGCACTGTGCAATAAAATAAAATGTTTGATCAATATTAGCTGCAGTTTGACCAATGGATATCAGTACTATATTAAACTTAATTTAGAACAGATTTTAGATGGTTATTGAAAATGATCTGTCATTGATGTTTGAAACACTTCTAGTTATTTATATTCAAATATCTTTTAACAGTAGCCATTGACACAAGTGACAAATGCCGACATAATACTAAACAGAAGCAGAAGTAGAGATGAGTCATTGAACTGTAATGCAGTAATGCCCAGCTCTGGCTAAATCTGGCTTCCACACACTGAGCATGCTTAGCTACAGTTTAAAACAACCAAAAGATCATATCTCACAAATTAAGGCTGCAAATTATGTGTAGCTATTGAAATAGCAAATGATAAGAGAGAGAGAGAGTGTGTGTTTTATTGCTGATGAATTCAACTTTTCATTTGTACAATTACTCTTTGAAATGTAAAAACTACTAAGCTATATTTATTATTTAACAAATATTTTGGTACAACCTTAACTGTTATTGTAGTGCTAAATATTTTTGTACATGGAACCAATATGTGTCGAAAAGTGTATATTTTTGCATAATGAAAATTCACCCGAAGAATGTAAAAGGCTACTATTGATTTCTTAATTATATAAATAAAAAACAGAATGGAGCTGAAAATCTATAATTATTAACAAGGACTCATCATCACACCACTCTTAGATCCACTTGCAAGTGGTTTCAAGAAAGTCACTTATCCATCCTTAGTAGGTCATGCCTTCATCGGGCATAGCACTCAGTAAACCACGTGCAGTCTGATCAGGGTACAGACGATACTGTAAGGACCTTTGGTTTAATCTGTCTTATTCCTGGATCTAAGTCTCAACCCTGCTAATGATGACCAAGAGAGTACATCTTGTTTACACAAGGAGAGGAAATCACCACACAACTACATTGGGTATCTTTGGCCATCACTTCACAACCACTCGGGTGGAAATCCTCTGATTTTCTTTCAGATAAGGTCATTAGGGTAGGGTTTAGATGCTCCATAACAATTCTCCTGCTCTCTCATTTTAGATCCAAGATTAACACCCAGCAACACAAATGTCTGACAACTGTGTTTTTCCCAGCAGTGTAGGGCATGATTACAGATGACAATCTTCATGCCCTACACTGCTTGGACAACACCTAGAGGTCCCTGACACTCAAAGGGTTTTGTTTGTTAATTCTAGTCCCATCCAGGCTGTATGACAAACTCTTTAATATGGGAGCTGAACTGTGCCCTGTGTCAATGGGTTCTTGCCTTTTTGTTGGAGTTGATGTAGGTGGTCAAACATAACAAATTCTCTTAACCCCACAGGGGTGTATACTGTGTCCACTCCTGTAGTTACTGTATACATATGACCCACTCCCAGTCTCCCAGGATTTACAAATTCACTGATGACACCGCGGTACTGGGATTAATCTCCCACAATGATGAAGCAGCCTACAGTAAAGAGGCTTTGTCCCTGGTGGTATGTGACGCATACTGTAATCAAATGTTTCCTAGACGCAGGAATTACAAATCAACTTCCGTTACTCATAATTAATCACAGCTACAAATTGGGAGTTACTATCTCTTCCATCTTGAAATAGGTTTACAAAAAGCTACAAATTCTTGGGAATTACTATCTCCTCCACCTTGAAATAGGTGTACAAACCTGCTACCACTCTGACAAAAGCACAACAGAGGTTTTTTCTTTTTAAGAATCAGTTTTATACTTTAATTTATTATGTGTTTTATGAGTGAGTGGTTTAAACTATTGCTCTTATTTTTGGCTTTTGTTTAAGTGAGCCTACTAACTCTAAAGTACTGAATCTGGAATCTTGGAACGTACGGTACGTGTGTCTGGTGTCAGCTCACTTTAATGAAGATAAAGGAGTCTTTTGCTTAAGCCAGAGCTGACCTCACCTGACTAACATCTGACCTCATGTGCCTCCTGTGGTCAAGTGCCTGCCTGGCCTGTTGACTGTTACTCTGCTGATAAGTTACTCATACTTAAGGTGGAGATGTAAAGTATGTTTTCATGGATCTGTGGTACATATACGTAATAACAAACATAATTTGTTTGTGGTGTGGACTCGCTTGAGCCACCCTGCCCACTTCAGCCCTCTATTTTTCTAAGGGAAAGAAAAATATGTGTACAGTGTAAACCTTGTATCTGGGATGTGTAACTAAACACTATCTCCATCTCTTAACTGTCAGCAGCTGTGAGTCTGGATGGCGTCATACTCCAGTCTCAACTGTGTGATATTGTGACTGTGAGCTCTGCTCTGCACTGAGTGCAAGTGGGCCGGATTCCCAGAGAGGTTGGGCCAAAGTTCCATGTCATCCTGTTGTGCTCCTTTAACAGGAAAATCTACCAGCAGAAAGCCAAAGTAAACTTAGTAAAACAATTTATTTTTTTTATTTTTTTATTCATTAAGGAAACCTAGCTTCTTGGCCAGGACTCCACCCTGTGGATTATAATAAACATTTTCCATGTATAACATGTCTTTTGGCAGCAGAGGTCACTGTTGTATAAAAGGTTTTATGCTCACATCTTTTTAAGTCTGTCTTAACAATACTTACAAGCAAACAGGTTTTGCTTGCTGTAATAATTCCTCTTCCTCATACTGGCCATTAAACCACCAGTGTGTAGGATTTAGTGACATCTAGCAGTGAAGAGTAGACTGCAACCATTTCAATTTAGTTCAATTCAATTTTATTTTATTTAAAGTTATCTTGGGAGGCTTTTCATATAGAGCAGGTTTAGACATTCTCCTTATAAAATAATTAAGAAAGACCCAACAATTCCCACCATAAAGCACTTTTAATTTGAATACAGCTCAGCCTTCCAAAAGTGTAAGATAAACTACGATGGTCTCAAAACACGTGAAAAAAATGCAAAAGTGCCTATCTAGAGCCAGTGTTAGTTAGACGAAACATGGCATTTCAACATGGTGGTCCGTGGAAGAGGACGTGATCCGTCCTCCTAAATGTTACACACTGGATTCCCATCCATAATATGCTTCCAATGTAAGTGATGGGGGAAAATCCTCCTTCAGTGCAAAGTATCTGAATTAAGCAAATCAAGTGAGTATCTTCAAAGGTTGTTGTGATGGTGATGAGAATATACTAGATAAATAACAGTTCAGTTAACCCACTGGCACTCTCTGCTAAGCTACAGTTTGCCATTAAGCCTAGAAAGTCAAGTACACATATTAAAACACTTAACACGCACATGTGCTGTATTTACAATGAATGCACCCAATATAGCATATATATTACTTGATGCACATAACCTCTGATACAGCCAGAAAGACAACTTGTATCCCAAACATTAAACTCTCTGGAGGGAACGAGCAGACAAAGTAAAACAATTACCCACTCACAGGAGCTGATTGACTCCTGACTTCATAAGTTAAAGTCTAATTGGTGATACTCAGACCGTTGAGGCCTCCTTTTAACTTTAGATAAACTTTGCAATTTATTTTCAGATTGAGGAATGTGGATTTTGTTTCCCATCACTAATATTGGAACCAATAAGAAGGGATGCTTTAAATGCCAGCCAGCAAAAACGGTTTCAGTTGGGCAGCCAATATTGTTTTAAGACATACTAAAAATATAAATAAATACTAAACTAAAAAGTGTGATCTAAACAGGGCTGTGAAGGCCAAAATGTCCTCATTCCCAAGGTCTTACTAATATTGTTCCTCACATACAAAACAGAATCGAAAACACTAGGGAGGAGGGGGGAATAACTGTACTGTATGGGGTATATTGCACATTTGTTAGGCATTGTTATTCCCAAGAGACCTGTTCTTTGCCACAGAGACGCATACTGCAGTACACCACACGATGGCAGTATTTGAGAAGGAAACAAATCTCCTCAAACACTAACACTGATCCACCTGACTCAAACATTTAAGGAACTATAAATGATGATATAAGGAACTCAAAGCCAGAGGCGAACACATAGGCTACATTAAAAACAAACCAGTGGATTAGATACAAAAAAAGGGTAGGCTACATGTACACGATATGAGAATATTTCTGGTTCCTAAGAGGATGAAGAATATGAAATAGCCTAAGTGATTTACATTAAAATCTGTTTCTATTAGCTTTCTTTGCCACTTGTGGTTATAACATACATTGAATTCAGGCGTCACATAACGCTACAATGAAATACCGTTAAATCTGCATCCTATGTGGCTTCTTCCACATCATCAGCATCTTCTTCTTCTTCTTCTTCTTCTTCTTTGTACAACTAAACTCAAAAAATGTCAGTGCGTTTGCAAACTCTTGGCCTTTACTTAAACACAATAGGCTGCAGCCAAACCGAATGGGGTCAAAGATTAGGGCTTGAGTCGGGGTGATAAATTAAACATCGGATCTTAAATTATGAATTTTCTTTGAGGGTGGAGGACACGGAGCTTCTGTGTCTTTAATAGTGAGGAGAGAGAGATGGGAGAGGCTGCGCGCTCACGCATCATTACTCGCTCCGTGGCGGCGGGAACGCGCACTGGCTCCCACACTCGCTGGAGAGGGAAAATATCGCCCGTCGGACTGCAACCGTGACTCACCGGGGGAAAAAAAATGTGTCCTCCGTCGCCCTTCATCAACACTATCGATGTCTGCAAAAGTCATGTGAAGGGATCCACAACATATGAGGACTCGAGTTTTTTCGACTATTAAACTTGTTTCAGAGGATTGTAAACTCCGAGTGATTAATAAGCCACAGGAATTGAAGTTAACATTGGACAGGTAAGATGATTTAGTAGCCTAATTAGGCAGTTACTGTAGTTAGAAGATGAAAAATATACACTTTGAGCAGGATCCAGATCAAAGCTATTGTGGAAAACATCGCCCTGTAGGTCAACTGCAACTGTGATGAATCACAAGGGCATCCGTTCATGAGCGCAAAAAGCTTTACGTCTATGTGAACAGATAATGGGAATGTTGCAATTTAACCCTTGCTGAAAGTCAAATGTTTTTTTGCACACATCAAATGTTTCAACAATATAGACAGCGTCTGTTCGTCCGCAGCGGGTTGTGGAAACGCGCTCAGAGCAAGGAGAGACAGACTGACCCTGAAATTGCTGCAAATATGACACACAGCATACATCGGATGTCCAAACTCCTATAAAAATTGTATCAATATATAGCTATATTGTGTGTGTGTGTGTGTGTGTGTGTGTGTGTGTGTGTGTGTGTGTGTGTGTGTGCGCGCATTGGTGCCATGCGAAAATAAAAGGAAACTTTGCATGTGGTGCTTTCTATCAGATTGTATGACAGCAGCAGCGGCAGTTGTAGGATGCACCTTGTCTTTTTTCTTTGTTTTTACGAGTTTGTCATGTGATTTGAAATTGCGTTAAAGAGCTTTGATATCGCTTTGAACAGCATAACCCAATCAGTAAAACACATTTGAATTGATATGAGATGTAAGAGCCTCCACAGTACATTTCCGCTGGTTTAATGGACATAATGGATGTTATGTGACTGATTTTTACTTTTTGCTAATGTCTGGTTGTTGATACTTGCAGGTGCAGAAAATGGCGAGACGGGTCCTGCAGCTCTTGGCCCTGTGGACTACTGTTATTGGCATTGTGCAGTGCTGTCCAGAGCTCTGCACCTGCCAGGATAAACTTTCCCACCAATT